GTCACTATGGAAGCAAAATCACAACAACCTCCAATCAATCCTATAATAGAAATTATTCCAAAATATCTACAACTGAGTGAATAAATAAATGAAGGCATAACTGTAATTACTAACCAAGATACACTTAGGTGACTTGAAAACGCGGAGTTTATCCCCAGCCAGGTCTGAATATGTCAATGCCAAGTTATTCTTGATCAGAGTGGATTTGTATGACCTGTATGAATTTATGCGTCAGAAGGTGGGTATGAAAAATGTATGTATTTGTAGTATGAAATAGTGGGGTTAAAATTGGGTTTATATGTGTGTAAATTGTGTGCAAAATAAATAAGGTCAAATATGATTGTTTGGATAAACAGTTCAGCCTGGATGAATATTCTGAACTTCTTTCCTATTGAGGACAGAGGGATTTAGTATTATGTAAATCGCTTCGGCTACTCGCCTCTCTTAAAAGTTGGAAAAGTCTTTCTGCATTATTTTGATATGTTTTAATATGAATTCGGTGATTATTGAAAATAGCAGGTACTGCTGTTACTAATTTAATAAGTAAATTTTCCAATTTTACAGCATTATTAAGAGGTGTTTTTGTGTAACTTAAATGTTCCTTGGAACGAGTCGAGATTTCACGGGAAAACTCCCTAACGTAGAGCGCATCGCAATCGACACAACTTTATGCAGAAATGAACAGAATCTTATCTTTTATTCTAACTAAAGCGTTTCTTAGAATATTAGTTGTTTTACAGAAAGCTTAAATTTTCTACGTTTCCAGTATCCGTTCTAATTCTTCTGTCGTAACTTGGCGGTTCTTCTGAAGTAATGGTCTTGATTACTCTTCTGAAACGATTCAGGGTTAGAGAAATTTTAGCATTGAATGGATGTGGATAGTTAAGATTAATATACCGTTTTGAATGTGCCTGTTTTCGGTATATAGCCAAACTTAGACTACCATTAAAATTTCTTTTAGTTAAAAAGTCTAAGAATGGTAGTTCACTATGTCCATATTCCATTTCGAAAGTGAATATAATGTGTTCTGAGATCGCGGTTATGTGTTTGGAGAAATTTCTAAGAACAATTCCTTTTATGATGAGAAACGTGTCATCCGCATATATGAGCCAGATTCGCGGTCTGATCGTCTTGGCAAAAATAAACGACTCAATGTGGGACATATATAAATTGTCACAAATCGAAGATACTGGAGATCCCATGGCCACTCCATTCGTTCAAGTACACCAAGTCTTTTTGAAAGTGAAAAAATTTTTAATTTAAGCATAGTTTGAAGGATTATATGATTGAACTAATGTTTAATCGACATCTGCTAGATAGAGTATGACCATTCTCTAGTTGTGGATAAGGACTCCTGAAAAGTACTATACCAATTCGAAAGAGTTATTTAGTACTTCCCGGTTTTCAGTGGTTGTCTTATAAACGTCAGTCAGTTATACAAGCTACAAGCAACGCCAGTATTTATTATTATTGTCATTATGAGTCCATACAATATTAACATTTTACAGTTAATGAAAACGGTATGCGAATGCAATCCATATAAAGACACTACTGACGACTTAATTATTAAAAATTTATAGTGAAAATTCAATCCTTTAATGCATCAACTAGAAATTATAAAAAATATCAGGTTTTCCAAACAAATGTTGTTAGGATCATTGCAAAAAGTAAGTCATTATTAATAATTGAAATCAAATCATCACCTACTACGATCCGAATTGTTCAGTGAAGAAAAGATTATAAATTCCATTGTTTTTTATTTATTAATTCAGTATACTGTATTAGATAATTTGTTAAATTTGATAAATTACTTCAGTATTCATATTCTAAAATTATATAGGCAGTATATTCACACTGTGTAATGTGTGCTGTTGATGTCGATAGATATAAGTAGTATGTGTCATCAGTCGATTGTTCCCATTTGTGTTTTCGTTTACTACAATGGTACTTTTATTTATCAGCTGAAGATACATGTAGTTTTAACAGATTAATGTACTAGAATGCATCAATACAATACTATTATAACCATGAAAATGTAATATAAAACATTGAAACATAGACGACCCGGGAACTAAGATAATAAAAAACTATTGATAGATGAACACCACAACTAGTATGAACTAGTATGATTGCTGTGAAATCGAAGCCACAATGAAGTCCGAAACAATTGATTGATTTTTCGCAAATAAAGTATTTACTGTATAGTTCTCAGATTTTACTAATAGATTCTATAATTTTGTGTTGAAATACATTCGATTGTTCCCAATTGTGTTTTCGTTCACTACAATCGTAATGTTATTATTTACATAATTCATTCAAAGAAAATAATAGCCAATTTATAAAAACCTTTCTTTACATTATACATGATTTGTGGATGACTGTTAATGTGTTCTTATGCTCCCGGTAGTGCATTTAATTTAAATCTATATTAGTTTGAATAATTCATTTCTAGTATATCCATCACAGTTTGTAACATCAACAATTTTATTTTCAGAAGGGGATTTTATGAATATTATAGTAATTTCAATAGTTGAGATCATGAGTCAATTGAAGCTAGATCACTATAGAAAACCTGGAAGCACTGGACGCCCGTTTCATCCTATTGTTGGATGCCTGCACAGTGGTCTAGTGGTTAAGCGCTCGCTCGCTAGACTGTTAGGTCCTGGGTTTCAATCTCGCGAGGCGGGGTCGTGGATGCGCACTGCTGAGGAGTCCCGTACTAGAACAAAACAGCCGTCCAATGCTTCAAGGTTTTTCATAGTGGTCTACCTTCAATTGACTCATGATCTCAACTATAGACATTTTATTTTCAATGAAAATAGAAACATTTAGAAAATAATTTGGTCATGCAATAATCAATTTAAAGAAAAATATATGAAAACATTTGTCAAAACAATTTTTTCAAAGAAATTCCATATAAAACGTTGAGTTTAAATTGCCCAAAAGACCATCAAAGGGATTAAACATCTGTTTTATTTAAATTTAAACATTTGGATTCATTCACTTCATGTTTAATGTTTGTTTTGTTAGGTTGAGATAGAAACATGAGATAATGCTTTAAATCACTATGATTTTTATATAAGATCTTAATGTGAATTTCATTCATTCAGAACATATAACATACATTTCATATAGATACTATGTAAAATCAGTCATAAATCCTTTTTTTTAATTTTGATTATATTTGATATTATTTGATTGCTTATCAATGTATTTCGTTCATACTAGTTGTGGTGTTCATCTATCAATAGTTTTTTATTATCTTAGTTCCCGGGTCGTCTATGTTTCAATGTTTTATATTACATTTTCATGGTTATAATAGTATTGTATTGATGCATTCTAGTACATTAATCTGTTAAAACTACATGTATCTTCAGCTGATAAATAAAAGTACCATTGTAGTAAACGAAAACACAAATGAGAACAATCGAACATCTTTGTAAAATCTGAGAACCATACAGTAAATACTTTATTTGCAAATTACCAATCAATCGTCTCAAACTTTACTGTCCTTTCGTTTCCACACCAATCATTCGTTGTTCTATTATTCTGTTCTTTGATCCTATTAACCTTCTGCTTTTAAACATTTCACTTTCGATTGATGATACATATCACTTATATCTGTCAACATCAGTATAACACACCACACTACATTCTTTGTGTAAAATAATTAATAACTTTTTTCTAAAAGTAGTGTCAAGTAATGTCTCCTTCAATTGATAAAGTACCATTGTTTTTTGTATAGTTTCTAAATGATAACGATGATAAATAATTAAAGCACAACCCATTATTTCATCATAATATTCACGAAATATTTAACTCTAAAAAACTACTTCAAATAGAGATTGAGCCATTCAGCTTAATGTTTATGATATTCCATTAAATTGATAGATTTTACTTATTATTACCTACATGAGTATAGTCATGATTGAAAACACTTAAATTTACAAACAATATTACAAATCACTGATATTACATTTTGGAATAAAAACACTCAAATTCAAGTTAGGTGAGTGTTAACATAAATTATAAGCTTCTCTGTTAATTTGATTTTAAAGATGCTGAACCTAGGTACTCTGACGTTAAACATGTTATATTGAGTCGTGATCAGGATATAAATCTTACTGATAGTTTTCGTAAATGGATGATTTGTTCTGAAGAACCATTGAGATCTAGTTAAAAATGGATATATATATATATATATATATATATATATATATATATATATAATACCCGTTCATTATACTACAGACTGGTTGAACTGTAGAACTTTCAAACCAAACTGGATGATATGGTTTAGGCACTGGATTAGTTTACAATGATTCTTACTTATAGAGTCATTCAATTTATGCTATATTCGTTTAATTCAATAAGTTATTTATCTCACTTTAAATTTGTTATATCCATTCACTTTATATACTGTTTTCTTAACTCTATGCTTGACAGTTGAGACAATCAAATGTATATTCATTTGAACACGAATAGAATACCTATTTTTTTAATCTAAAACTTACAGTAATACTGTAGTGGATGCTACTCACAAGATTGTTTGTAAGTAGTATGTTGTGGAACGTGACTTCAAAGTTGCATTAGTCGTCAAACGGAGTGAAAAGTTTCAGTACAGCGAAAGCACAACCTAGACATAATACTTGGAGATCAGATGAGAAAACACCAAACAATGTAAATAGATGATTGAAGGTTATGTATGTATATCATGTAATGGTTTATAATTTTTCATAACAAATAAATTTCTTCTACCTAGTGCCACATTTTACAATTGTAGTAGATTTAATTAAATCATCTATGTAATATTTCCAATCATGTGACTAATACGTTTTAATGAACCTTTGTCGCTGTTTGATCGTATTAACAGAAAGAATAATTTTCTTTTTTTCTTTTAAGAATAAAATATGTACAACAGCTGATTTTATTTATCGATATCATTGTTTTAATCGAATTAATGTTTGTTTGTTTTTTCAAATATTTTATTTCATTTATAGACACAATCTGGTAGTCCATCAGAAGGTATATTACAAAGTGGTGATGAGATTTTATCAATTAATGGAGAAAATGCACGAATTTTAAGTCATGAAGAAGCAACACAAAAAATTCGTTCTGCTGGTACTGATCTACAATTAACTGTAGCAAGGTAAATATAGATGAATAATATACACCATAGATTATTTGTTACTTTTTTTAAAAATTACTGTACTAACTTGTTCACACTTCATGTATTAAGGTGAAATGTTATAATGAACTGAAGTATACCTTATTAAATTATCCCCAAATAAATATGTAAATATAATGGTTAAAATACACAAAGAAATCAGGCAAATATCTTGTGGGAAAATTAGCGGAACACAAAAAGTTTCTTCAGATGCATTCATTCATTATAGTTACGTAATTGCCTGTCAATATTAAAATAGCAACACTGGAAGATTTTTACTTAGTAGATATTTTTTAAGAAATGAAATAAGTCCAGGTCTCATAGAAAATTAAGAAATAGATGGTAGTTGTTCTGTTCATGTATGGAACTCCTAAGTGGTGCCAATTCACGAGGAAGACATCATCGATGACACTAAAACGTCGCGTTTTAAGGTGAAATTATTGAGATTTAGAAGTGTAAACTATTGAATCCTACCTGAACAGTCAAGAAAAAAATCGTATAAAATATAAAGGTCTTGGATTCGTTTTACCGTGAGGTATTTTTCGCATACCGATGAAGAGTCTCATAAAGGGGTGGGACAACTATCTAGTGCTCATGGTTTTTAACGAGAACCCGAAAAATGTCAATCCTTGACAAAAAGCACTTACAAACTGAAGTGATCTCCGCTAAAACCTCTCAACAAAACCATGCGTTTGCCAAAATAAATGTAGTTATAACATTGAAGTAAATAATCATAAACCAGTTGATAAAATATCTTTTGTGGCTACAACAAACAAAAGAAATCAAACAAACAGTTCTTATACACATAATTAAGGTTTTAAATTGTGAATGACTAAAGCTTTTATTATAATGAATGCGTCTAAGTATTAACTCTAGGAACCCTATATAAGATTTTGTAAGTGATTTTGATTGATAAATCTACAAGTAAATTCTCTAGTGAAACTGACACGTGCTACGGAATAGAAAAATTCAATAAATCTGGATTGCTATTCACTAAATCAAAGTTCTTCATAAGAAAGCAGATGAACTAACGTTTAAATATGGAACTGGTCGGTTATGAAAACTTATCCTTACTTCAGCAATATTAATATTGATAAGTATGTTTTGTCAATCCTCAATAACACATGGCTATTCAAGGGAACTTTTTATTGTATTCTGTTGTCATAACTCACAACCACACTAATATCTTAACAAATGTAAATAAATTATACTAATAGTGTATTATTATAATTCCAATTAAAACGATAAAAACACGAAATCCATCTTGAAGGATCATGTTTCAATGAATTTATTATCAAGCTGTGCAATCGTATATGTTTATCCGATTTTTAAGTATTGATTCCATGAGGAGATACGAACAGTAGATAAACATGATAGTGAAATAGAAAGATTATGATATTAAGTTTTATGATGTCAACTGATTGACATTTTGCAAATAAAGAATTTACTGTATGATTCTCATATTTTGCTAAGATGTTCTGTAAGTCTGTGTTGAAATGCATTCGATTGTCCCCACTTGTGTTCTCGTTCACTACACTATGACCCGTAATCCATTTAAACAGTTAAACCAGAATTAAATTATCAGAATGAAAATTTGTGGAGATTGTGGTAATTTTAATAGTTGAATTCATGATTCAATCTAAGCTAAACTATCATTGAAAACCTGAAAGTACTGGACTGCCGTTTCGTCCTATTATGAGACTTCTCATCAATGCACATTCACGAATCCGCACGCGGGACTGAATAGGTTTAGTTCAGGTGCACTGTCATTGAACCAAAAACTATATCTGTCTCATACTTATGATAAAATATGTACAATAAGCAGAATTCCGTTAGATTTATATCTCTTATCAAGTTATATCACTCAATGTTAGCTATGCGTTGAAAGCACATTGTTTGATTAATATAATCTTGTAGAAATTTGCTACAACGAGTTTCTCTGTCGGCCTCACCAGTTTGCAGAGATAATCTAATTTCCGTAACAGTCAGATATAAATCTAAAAGTGACTATTCTGTATAATTTTATATAATCCATCGGATAGAACACCTTGGCTACAACGATTCTCAATAATGTTAAAGCACAAGTTCCAGTACGAATTGTTAGGAAATATCATGTTTCAGTAATGTTAATAAGCATATGACACTAGTACGAAAGAAAGTGAACTGTTTTGTGTTGTAGTGAATTATGTTACGTAGGTTGATGTAGTAATCAATCATAGTGTGGTTTACCATGTGAGTTTATACAATTCATACATTTAATGGATAGGCTAGACAAACAGGGAAACAACACAATCATATTTATATAAAAAATTTACATGGATAAAAGATCGTAAACAATCATCTAAATAAGTACGAAATAATAAATATGATCAAGACAACACATTTAATAATCACATGAGTTTTCAGCCTTATATCAGTTTAGACAATAAATAAGATTGTGTAGGTGTATAATCTAAGTGTGTTACAATCTACTTCATTAAGTTCCGTCGTCCAATAATGACGTAACGATGAATACAAAATATTTCTTAATTAAATTATCTATATTAAGCAAAAATGAAATTCGAATTAATTTATAGGATTTATCGAATATAAATATATAATGTTTTGAACTTTTCGTTTTTCAACTCTTTTTCTGACTAGTACCTAACAAAATGATATATAGGAAAAGTACCTTAAGTTTACAGTTTCATTGATGTAATCACATGTGTTTAAAAACTAAAAGTGTATCATCTTATCCAACTTAATACATAACCAAATATTATACTAATTTTTAATTGTTACATTTTCCACTTGATAAAGTGAAAACGATATCAATCATTGATTTTGTTTGCAAACTATTGACATCTAAACGACTATATTTGGAATTCATACAATACTGTAGCCTAGACTGATGGCCACATTGCAACTTGGTTGATAGAATCCTATCTACGCTAAGAAGGACCTGACTCACATGGCATTGATCAAGCAGTTATAAATACGTCCTAGTCCTACAGGAAGTCAATCGCGGCCCGGATAACTCAGTGGTAACATCTTTGACTATGAAGCTTGGTGACAAAGGACTGAATCCTCTAGGTAGCATCGTTTCCCTTACCATTACAGGTACACCTTGGTGACGAGTGCCAAATAGTATGCAACCTATGTTCAGGGTTTCTTGTAGATTACCTCCAACCGCTACCCTATATAAAATATTGTATATATATTTCATTTCAAGTTTTAGTAAAATTCTTGCGATTCTAATAGGCATAAATACTCTATTGAATCATTATAACCAGTTCTAGTTGTTGATATTTACAATTTCAAACGATTTAATTATTATTTACTTGCTTACGTCTGTTACCCCTTGTGGGGCGTAGGCCGCCGATCAGGGTTCTCCAAAGAACTCTATCATGGGCTTTACTTTCCAGTTTTTGCCAAGTATTGTTCATTCTTTTGATGTCTTCCTCCAGTTCCCGGTAAAATATATATTTTTGTCTACCTCTTTTCCTTTCACCTTGGGAATTCGAAGATAGGGTGTGCTTTGTAATGTAGTTTAATAATTTCCGCGATATGTGTCCTATCTTTAATTTTTGAATGTCTTATATTAGGTTCACTTAGCTCAGTCAGTATATTTTAATAGCATCAAGTTCATGCAATTAATTTGTTCGTTCATAGTAAAAAGCCCACGGATAAGAGAAATGCTAGTTAGTGGAAAAATCATGTCAACAAAAATTACAAAAGAAACATGTTCCTTCATGTATATATAAATTTTAAATGAAATTAGTATAAATTATCTAAAGACTATTTTATAGACTACATTTCTACTTTGGCATTCTTTTAAATATTGGCTTGGAGTATAATTTAGAACTTATGTTCTAACCTACGTAGCACTCATCATCCTATAGTCTCTGTATTTTACTGTTTATATTCATTTCGAGATTTGTTTCTAAAACATGGTGTTTTAAACTTCAGAATAGTGTCAAACGAACTATCAACTCTCGAATACTTCCATTTACCCAAATGGGTAAGATGTTTTTAGCATATTTTCATTATCGCCGGCTGCAGAACTCAAGACATATATTCTGTTCTATTTGAAACTTATCGGCTGAACGGGCCTACATCCTAGTGTTCGTATTAGCACAGTGAACCGAATCAAAATGCTAGTGCTTTATCCATCAAGATAATAGTTTTAAATAGACACTTACTTGTTCAATGATTATGTTGCTTGCATGTAAGGGTTCGTGTTATCCAGTTATTAGCATTAAGTACCATATTTTGGTGAATTTTTGTTAACACCTGTGAATTCTAAGCATAAACATTGATCTTGTCAGTCTGTTACAAGTTTTAGTACAGATAGAACCATGAATTCCACTGCTTACAATAATACAACTACGATATAGCCTTAAACAAAATAGCAGTTTCATTGTTTACACTCACAACGCCGATAGTTAATGGTGAAAACTCTGTTTTGAATATCAACAACTGTTCAATACAAACCTGTACGCATAGATCATGATATTTATATCAAGGCATCCTGGTTCAAGATGATCAGATGTTAATGAAAACTAAACAGCTGAGCCTTATATACCAATAATTATGTAATTTACATTCGAAAATCATCGTATACATTAAATTACGTCAAATCGTAAAACATTGATATAATGATTGCCTTTCTCCAGTATTCGACTACATCAAGTTCTAATACTTTAAGGAACTTTGAAAAATTTCGACAGCAGTATGATTTTTAAAAAAAATTCACACTTTCATTTTAGGATGTAAAACTATCTCATTTCCAAGATCTAACTTTTCTTACTGTTAGTATATAGATCATACAAACTATTTACTAAAAGTTAAATTTGTTGTCATAACATATTAAATAGAAATTTGATATTGATGGAGATTATTCAACAACCATGAACTATTTCTGTTATAACGCTCGGTTTTACTTCATCTAATGTTATAACGGTTGGGTTCCCACATTTACACGTATGGAACGTTAATTTACCTTAAACAATTATCTACACTAGATTCCCTCCCAGTGTCCATTCTACAGGACGTTAATACAACTCAGATCAAGAACACGTGATTAGCCTGACAACCAAAAACCCGACACAATCCAACATGAACAAACAATCAATAATAAGTGAGTAATAATAATAATATGGATAGAGGAATACATAACTCATCTGACATCTATCAGACTATCTACATATCTAACTAAGCAGACAACCAATCATTATCATACTTACCCACACATCAATTTCTATCGTCGATACTTATTCAAGACTATTTTGAAGTATTAATGAGATAACTTTCTAATGAATTGAAAATATTATAATTCATTTCTTCAAGTCACTTTTAAAAAAGAATATCATTACGTAAACAGTAATTAATTAAACTATTAATTATTGATGGATATATGATTATTCAGTTTATTTAAACGTGAGGAGCTGAAATTGAACTGTTTATCTCCTTCTGTTTAGTTTTAAGCGAACTTCTAAGTGTAAGTTAAGTGTCTTTTATTAAATAGGTCGACTAAATAGTATTAACTAAATGAATAAAAGAATTTTGATTATTATAAATAGATTACTGTATTTTCTGGAAAATAAGAGCCTTGTAAAGTTTGTTCAACTTAAAGATAGTTTATATTCTAGACTGAGGTTAAGTAGGTAACTAATCAATATCAGGGGCTGCTTTATCTTATTATAGGACTTTTTACCAGTGTCTCTCTATGTTATTCTTTCTTTGAATGCCAGATTAATAGCATTTGAAATATAAAGGAAGTGGCCTCATCATGAGATTTAATTGTTCTAGTTTCGATGCCTAATAATGTTTAAGTTGCATACTGTTGAGAAATCTTATACTAAGAAATATCAATATTCTATAATGCCTTTTGGATTTCAATATTTTACTAACTAAAGTCAGTTTGTTAGGTAAATCATTCTATATTTTGTTATCCAGCACCCAAATTCAATGAGATTATTAATTTATTTAAATATTACATAATTTTGTTAGGTTTTTATAATTACTTAATTTTTGGTTTCCTTTTTGTGTCAAATTTTTAGAAGGCAAACATGTGATCTAAGTGATATTCGACCTAAAGGATTACTGAAATTTACAGCTCCACAGAACAACAGACGTTAATTTTTCGCCTACTGATGTAATCATTCTTGGTTTCAACATACAAATATTCTTTCTTTTGTCTTCTTTTGTCCATTTCTTCAAATGATCTATTACTGTATATCACAGAATAACATAGATGAGTGATAGTTTGAACTGTCTTTATTTGTTGTCACTAGTGTTGAAAATCATTGTTCATGCATTTATTGTTGTTAGTTTGTATGGGTATGTATTTTGTGTGTTTATGTGTCTTATTTATGTTATGACAACAAAAACTATTGAAAATATGCAAAAATCAAATTTGTTAATACGAATATAAAATACATATATTAGATTCAATATATCTTATTATCAGACGGGGGTTGTGGAGATTTTAGTGATTTAATGGTTGAATTCATGAGTCAATTAGACCTAGACCACCATGAAAAATCAACATCGGTAAAAAGGTTGTTAATTGATCAGTCGGATAAAGGAATAACACAATAAGTCAGCTACCGGCATTTCCTAGAAGTTTTCTTAAGTCGCTGGTTGGTTAAAAAAATTATGGACATTTCCCGCCTTTACAGAATTTCTCTCGAACAACAGATTTACTCACCAATGTTTGACTGACCTACTAATTCCTATATATTTAAACAATCGAAACAAGATGTACAAATTCAATGGTTGTTGTCTAGCAACACTTACCATCTGACTAGAACGTCTAGTGTTTGATCTGTCCGATAGACACTTTCTTATAGGAGCTTTTCCATGTTATATGTAGTTGAAGTTAGTTTTTTCAAGCATACACTTTAACGATTTATCAACCTTAAGAGTAGTTCTATCATGTTTTGTGTTAAGGTGTAGTCTTTTCAAATGAGGTATACATTTTAGTGGAATTATTACATATTAAAGTGATGATGGAACTTTATTAAATTATACATCAGTGATTATAAATCTATTCACAGTTGCATCAAACATCAGTGCAGTTTTTAAAACTTTATGGTTTAATACCTTGAATCCTACACATTATGGTCACTTTAAAATGAATATTGAATCCAACTTTTAATTCTGAAACAAAATTTCCTCTACTATAGATTATTATCTTGAACTACTGGGAAGTTAAAAAGTTTCAAATTTGACAACCACCTGTTGTTAATAAGTTATAGCAATCAACAAATGTAAGTAGTTTTTCTAAATTAATTCTTAGATATCAACAATAAGTTGATAACCATCATTAGTTTTGAGTTTTTGATACTGTTCTACAATGTTCAGTTTTTTAATCCAACACATGTTGTAATGCGAGTGCTCATTTACGATAAAGCTAATGCCATATGTCTTACCATTACATGACACTACAGTTTTATCACTGTATAATTCCCGTGTTAGGTAACTTTCAACCAAGACTCAAGAACAGTATCACTTCGAACAGCAAACAAAACGGTCCAGTTAAAATATATTCCTGTTCGAACACTAGCGAGTGTATTCTGAACTCATTTAAATACGATAATCCGGATTCATAAAATGAAACGCTTTTTTTAAAATCACAATTTGTCAAGAATTTCACTCAATAACAGCCATTGACAACTACTCTTTCGGTAACATATTACATGTTGTGTAACTGACTATGTGATTAGAGAGGACAAATTTTAAAGGTTTATTAACTTTGAAGTCCATCCCTTACTTCGTTGAGTAGGTAGCCATTCACATTGATCAGTTATTGAAATCTCAAATGTTGCCTAATCATTAAAATACAATTATAATTCACTTAAATTAGAATTAAAATTCTCTCTTTTTAATTCGAGTGAATACCTTGGTAATAAGTAGCTTAACCTAACATATATTGATCACAAATAGACTAAATGGTCACCAACTCCTACAACTAACTACTTCACTGTTAACGAGCAGTGACTATGCACATTATATGTTACGTGTGTGTTAATTATGTCACAACTTCATTAGTGATTATAAAACTGATACTAAATGATTAAATAAGTAAAAAAAGAACTACAGGATAATTATAATATTTAAAGTAAATAATTGAAAATCAATTGAAAGATGTAATTGAAGGGTTAACAGGCTGCAAAATATCTAATAATACAATTAACGAACCACTTTTTGATAACAAACCGCATATTAATAATGGTTCCGTTTGAATAAAGAGATGATTTTTGCAATTGTGCACAAATGTGGAAACCCAAAGAAATACAGATGAAAAAGGGTAACAATAAGAATATTTTTACCAGCTCTGTTATAGCCTATATCGATGATGAAATTAAGGAAGGAAGATCTGCACAAATTTCTTTTTACAGAAATAGTTTTAGGTAGTGGATATAGACTTCTATGTTTTGGTAGTATATAAAAGATGTGGTACATTTGATGGAATCTAGAGAACAACTCTAAAAGTTTCTTTCAAGTCTACTTGGTTTCCTTTGTCGAACGAATGACTAAGAATAGAGTCACTCAGTCAGACAGAGCAAAAACGACCGTTTATTGGAATCCAGTCTAACAGAGCCTGCTCTGTTTTAGAACTTAATTCTATATCCACACCAGCGAGGCCGCGAGAAGTAGAAGCAGAGACCCTAGGTACTCAAAGGGTGAATCATTTCAGTCCTTTATATTGATAAGGTGAAGTCAAATGAGTGACCTGTATGTACATTTAGGAGACACGGCATATACCGATGGCGCGAGATTCTAGAGTCCTAGCTAAAGAGGTCTGTTCTCCTATATGACACAAGGTTCCAATATTAAAATCTCCAACATGTAGTTTAGAGCTAAGTTTAAATAGACCAGGAATAACATTTCTTGAACTCAGATCATTAGCGTTGGTAGCGTTTGGTGTTGAAGATAAATGGAAAGGGTTAGTCGTGGGGATGGAAGAAATATTAAGAGGTGAGGTAGGGATTCGATCGTCGACAAGATGATTTCGAGTGCCGATAGAGGTTGAAGAGCGACTATTACTTTCAAGGTTTCCCGCGCTTTGAAAGGATATTTCTTCCTGGGTAACCTGAAGAAGAAGCTGAATCAGCGGCAATCTTGGCGACCTTGGAGCATGATCTCAGAGTCCAAGGAACAACTGGTTGAGGCCGTCGCAAACAGCTTTTTTATGGGTAATTTTCGATTTGTTAGCTCCGCACTTCAAAAGGTCTTACTACAGGGAATGGAAATCCGTGAGGTATGGTGAGGTGTGAAATTTTTAAGGCCAACATTCTCTAACCCTTTCCATACGTTGTAAGAAAGTGGAATCTCTGTAGACTCTGGTTATCTGAGGGAAACACCTTACTGCTATCACATCTCTGTACAGTCAGAAGTACGACTTCGCCCTCGGGCCTTAAGTTACTTCTTTTAGTCTATCCGTTCTTCAGCCGCAGACTTCTTTTGTGGAATCAGTCACACAGAACTCACAGCATATTGATATATTGAATCAGGGTTTAGTGACCCTGAATCCGATTTCATTTAAATCGTATGAATGATCGGTAACAAGTAATCGCTGTCAAAATATACATCTCACCAATTATATACGAGGATTGGCGACAATTATACTTTGACAGCAATCACTCGTTAACGATCATTCATACTGTTTAAGTGTAGTCAGATTCAAGGCCTTTAAAGTGGTGAGCCCGTCAACGACGAACCTAACGCAGCAAACTACGTCGATGAGGAACCTTCTGGATTCCATACCTTTGGTAAAAAAAACTCAGTGAAGCCAGCTCAGTCGATAAATAACGCAGTTTTCCACCACACAATCAAATCAGAGAGAGATCACAGCATCACTCAAGTGGTAAGCTTGACTTCAAACTAAACACACCCTGCAAATCTACTCAGATGGTGAATATCTCGAACTCTTCGCGTCCGATAAATCAGCGAAACGGCCGACAAGATCGATGAGCAACTCAAACAACTCAATTTCTAATCCGACGCACTCAGCAAGGCCAGTACATCAGCGACATGGACATGCTTAAATAATATTGCTATATCGATAATTTATCCTCGTGTCAACTCTTCTTATTTATCTATTTGGCGGATCGTTCCATTATGATCATAACAATCATATTCTTACTAGTACATTCCTGTCTTATCATAACCAAATGTGGATTTATTATTATCGTTCGTGTTGAAATTAAATTATGACATTTACGCAACCATATCACACCGGGCTCACCACTTTAGTAGCCTTGGAATATCTAACTCCAATTCGGTTGTATTATGATTGTTATTGATTTATACATATCGTCAAACCTCGAAGGAAGTGGAGATAGCGAAACGAAACGGATTGACACGCAGTAGAGAAGACATGTGAGCCAACACTTTTTTGTTTCCTTCGCTCCGTCTCTCTGATTGTCTGTTCTGATCAAGGATTGTACAAAATATACGTATTCAAAACTTCATTCTCGTATTTGACTTATTTTAATTCCGTTATTTACCAACGCCATTCAAGTCGATAAAGTATTCGAAGATTGACGATATGTATAAATCAACAACAATCATAATACGATCGAAGTGGAGTCAGATATTCCAGGGCCACTAAAAGGTTAATTTAAATGCTTCTATTATAACATTTTAAAAAGTATCCCATTTTTGTTTTCATGTATTTAGATGTTTGACATTAACCTAGAAAATGTACTTTTATTTTTCTCTTTTGTGATCTATAAACAATCGATTTTTAATTCCATCTATTAGTTTCTTTTTTATTCATGCATTTATGAACAAATTTTTGACTTTTGCGCTATCTGACAACTGATAAATTAATAATATTTCAATCAATAAATATAGTTTCATACTGAATAAAATTGTAAAGTAAAAGTGATACATAAAATAAAAATTATTAATGATCGGTACATAAAACTAACTTAATAATCTGATAGACGATCATTCTAATTCAGTAGTGACACTATACCATATGTATGGACTATATCCCTATACAGATGTACAGATGATATATACAGTTATTTCAATTGTAGTTTGTATCAAACGTTTTTTTTTTCGCTTTAGCTCATAGTATTTATGATTCATCATTGTGTTCTATCTATATGTACAGTTGTACTGTGGTGTATGCTACTTATGTTGACAGATATAAATTGTATGTGGCACCGATCGGAAATAGAATGTCTGCAAGCAGAAGATTGGAATGAAAACTAGAAGCAATCAAGATAAAAACAGGTATGAAGGAACAAAGAATTTTGTAAGAAACAATTCAAAGATGTGCGAATGGTGTACCTAGTGTATGATTTTCACAATTTACCAAACCATTGTGTGAATTCTTCGTACACTACGGTATAATAAAATAAATCTCAGTAACGTACATTCTGGGTCAGTCAGCCAGTCAGTAACAACGTGGAACCTCGTACGTACGTAGATCAGTTCGAGTTGCCATACCACATTAGCACAGAGATTCAGTTATCGATTCAAATTCCATAGTGGTAGAGATACTAAAAGTATAAGTAGTGATAGGGAACAGTAGGGTTTGATGATGCTATTTAAGGAGTATAGTCCAGTGGAATAGACTTGGAAAGAAAATAAAAGACATGAAGAATACAGAAGAGTAGAGTTTGAGAGAACACAGAGAGTGGATGCACCTGCGCCATTGCAAACGATTTTGAGCCATGTCATTCAAGACCTCTAACCATCGGTTGCTATCGTCTCGCGGACCCCAACCAGGTAGTCTACACCTACAAACATGGCTCAGTCCACTTGTCAGTGACTTCATGGATTTGTGCCATGTTTTGGTCTGACCGCCCCTAGCTTTCTTTTAACCTACTCCTACACTATAAAACATCGCACGTCGGGGCAGTCGGTGGTCGTGCATGCGTAGCCCAAATAGTGCTTACTTTAAATGAAAACAAATCATCCACTAAAAGCATACTTATTGGGTAGTTAAGTAATATAATTTATAATAATGAAATAGTAAGTCTGAACTCTGATATACCTACCTAAGCTTGGATAGCCATAAAGTATTACCAGCCGGCAACATAAACCATATAGTGCATACTGAAGTGACAGGACTTTGAATAAGTTACGGATCTAGGTGAAATTACATTCTCATTCTCAAAATCTTTTTTTAATTTCAGATAGAAGTAAGATGAATTGATGACAGTTGCAGAGAACCAGTCTTCGACCTAATCTCAAATGGAAGTAATTGTTTTGAAAATAAAGTCTGAGGGGTGTTATTTGTTATTAATTTTTCATCCAATAGGGTTCGTGGTACTTGTGTATTAGAGTCATAGGATTTAAATGTTCCATTCAGGTGCAAAGAGTCAGAATAGTGTCTAGCTCTTCTGAAAACCAATTTAAATTCACGTTCTTCTGTAGTATATTTATAGTTGTGAATGTTTTCCTTTAGGCCATTCTCAGAAACTTTAAAAGCCAAGATCACCTTTTTTAAGTTTGTAGTTTGATTTCTCTCATCAAGGCGTGAAGTATCGGGATTCTCTATCTACATAGAGAGGATCATCAGCTTCTTTTGATACATTCAAAGTGAGATTGAGTCTTTATAGCACTATAAATCGCAACGATTAACATCGTCTACGTAACATTTCTCCCTTACACTTGCAAACTGATAATTTATTTTACATCTCTTTATTTCATATTGTTTCTTCTAGAGAACAAAGTGTGTGAGTGCGAACAAAGAATAGAAGTAAATTTATCAAAACAAACCTGACGCAATGAAGCTTGTTGAGACCAATTTGAATGAAGAAAGAAATTAGATATTTAACTTAACTAAATCTCAGACCTAACTGAAATTGTTTGTAAATATGTTATGACTTGCGTATCGAATCGAATGTTACTTTTTGTATCTGGTCGTCGCTGATTGTTGTGTCGGAAACACTGACCACTTATGTTAGGAACGAAGGAACCTCCACAATTCCCACGACGCGAAAGTAAGAACACAAGACTGGTATAAGCGAAGTTTTATTAGCCCAAAACACTAGGATGACTACGACGACCTTAGTCGAAAATACACTCATTTATATATTGATTGTACACCCATTTTGATTAATAATTAGAATGAAATCGATCGAATTTTGACTTTTATTCCATCATATCAAAATATGATTAAAACAAACGATTAACATATGTAACAATCTCTTGTTTAATGTTTATCAATAAATGTCTCAAAATATAACATAAAAAAGTTTAACATTATTAAGCAAATAAAATATAATCCGATTTTTGCACAAGAAAAATATCAGAAACTACTACCACATTTCGTTACGCCACATAAACAGAACGACTAACGAACCGCCATTAATTCACGAATTTGATTAATCCATAATATTAATGGGATTTCAATTGAAATATGAAGAAATATTCATTCAATTAAAATAATATAAGTTACCAAACGAAAAAAATGTTATAGTTTGAAAACGTAACTAACAGTTTTTTTTATTTTTCGTATGTAGTTTCAGTTAAAGAAATGTATCAAAGAATATTTGTATAATTCCGAAATATCGATGACAGGTTTTTAGCTACAAGAAAGAATATTTGTGGCGTTTATTTCTTACAAGAGAACAGTCTACCAACTTGAAGTCATTGAATAATTCTTAAACATTCAATAGAATTTGAAATGAATTAACTGAGGTATTTTCATTCATAGCAATAATCTATAGTACATATGTACATTACTTATTGTTGATAACAACAAATTCATACAATCTACAAAATATACACTAAATAACAAATTAACATTTTAAAAGAGATAAGATTAGAAAATCTCGAACAGTAACGTGTTTTGTTGTTTGAATGATGGTTATAGTCATAAAGATAATTGATAATTTTACACCTTAAAATTAGTATTCAATAATATTGTTTAAATATAAAATGTCAAGCTTTACAGTAAACTTCAAGTTAAGTTTTAAGTATGAGATATTCTGTTTTGTTTAGTTCAGTAAAATTTTATAACATCAAAGAAGTATTATCTCGGTTGTTTATTAATTGACTTATTGTTAACAGATACGGCATTTGAATATTTCCCCCACCACGAGAAAGGAGTGAGTAGGACTTCCCTGACAGTGATTGTATGTACGTGGCCATGTGAGAGCATTTTGAGGGGGAGAGCTGACTCTCTCCACTCTCGGCCGTACCAGGGCATTTAGAGACAATAAGGATAGATCTATTGACCTATATTAATCCTTGCAGTTTGTAACACTGAGGTCCAATTTCGTCTTGAATATATCAACAGAAGGTGTTGATATTACGTGTTCCGGTAGAGAATTCCAGTAATTCACTACTCGGTACGAGAAACGAAACTCCAGACGTACACGATTTGATCTCAATTTTTGAACTTTTTTCTAATGTCTTCGCAAATGATCAGTCCTAGACGAAAGGAAAAAGTAAGACATTAATACCAGTATACGATAAGCCAATAATATATCACTCCGTATTCTACGATAAAATAACGGAAATAAGTTGAGGTGTCTCAGTCTGTCAGACCTTGAATGACATGGCTCAAAATCGTTTCCAATGGCGCAGGTGCATTCACTCTTTTTGTCCTCCCATCTTCAAACCCTAATGTTTCCGATTACTGCTTATAATTTTACTACCTTTACCACTATGGGATTTGAATCGACAATTGTATCTCCGTGCTAATGTGGTATATCAACTCAAACTGATGTACGTACGTACGAAGTTCCACGTTGTTGCTGACTGATTTGAATATTTTGAAAATGTTCAAGGTGAAAAATGATTTATTTGGCAGTTGTGTCAAAAATTTTATGAGGATATGATCGACTTTTTTATGTGGAGTTTTTGATGTGAAATTGTGGTCATTTAAGTTGATACTCGACTCACTCTTTCAAGATCCTGAAGCTTATGTACCTTAAGGTAGACTCTCCATATCCATAATCCCAAATTCAGCACCCAAAGTCAATTTTTGTAGAAAAACCTTTAACGTCATCTAAATGCACAGTACGATGTCTCTGGAGGAGGCTGTAAACGTATAGCCGTGTGATAACATTTCGAGGAGGGGATCTCTCCCCTACCTACGGATATACAAAGATATTTGGAGTTATTCTAGTTCATGAATGATACTATTGGTTTTATATTTTCCAATGTAACAATATTTCGGATCAATACGTTTGTACCAATTAAAAGTGAACTTTATACAACATGACAAGCGTGAACTTTAGCACGGTGTGAAAATTAATATTCTTCGCATTATTCTGTGTGATATTTATGTGTTTTACAGTAACCCTGTATCTTTTCATTTATATAATGTTTACTAACTAATCATCAAACGTAGGTGAAATCATTAAGTAAATTGAATGTATTTAGTTTAATCATGTACGACTTGTTTGAAGAGCCGATAAATCTTCACTGCACCAGTCTTTCCTGTCCTTGCTTTCCAACATGGGTTTCCAATTATCAAATATAATCAGTAAAGCTGAGAACACAACAGAGGCAATCATAAATATATCAAAACGTTTAAGAGAATATTTCCTTTAATGATTCATTTCAGTATTGTTTAATGAGGATATGATTAATTACAAGTTTTTTAAAAGAAAAATTAGGTATTATTACTTCTTAGTAAGTGAAATCAAACGTACAACAATTAATCTGTTAACCGATTTAGTTTCTAAATTTATATCAATGAATATAATTGTAAACTGTATGATTATGATTGCAAATAAAGAGAATTCAGAGAAATTTTTCTTTTCGACGAAATCATTTACTTAAGCTGTACATTCGTATTTATAGTTATATGGAAGATAAATGTCTTGTAGGGGCTAATTTCCCCTATATTTGACTCCAATAAATGGTATCCCGTCAACTGAGTATTTAATACAGGCTAAATCTCCTAGTAGAATTATGGATTAACTCGAGATTATTCGAAAGCCTGAACATCAGTTATAGTGATAGTTTATTGTTAAAGATTGGTAAAATCCGCAAGCGTACAGGAAGCCAGCACACAGGGAAAACAAGTGTGTGTGTGTGTGTGTGTTAAAAATCCATATATTCTTTCTGTGTGTTAATCAAGTATGGATAAATTATTGATTGCTTGTATATTACAACCAATGGAAGAATAGATTAAAAATTGATGTGCAGACATGTGCTCAATCATACTCACACAGAAATTTACATAGTGGATTAAGTATCTAAATTACAGTGAGCAGATAAATAATGCAGTAGCTGAATGGGCTTACTGGTCTATAGAAGGATAGAAAAGATTGCATCGTAAAGTTACGTAATAATCAGAAGGCTAAATAAACTTACTTGCTCCTGTGGGGCAGGTTGCATTGGCCGCACAAAGCGATCACTTTTTAGACGGATCTCAGAACATTAAACGGCGTGACTTTTAAAAGAATGAAAAACAGTTACCAGTTCAATATAGAAACATCTAATCAACTTTGAACATATCGCTCCGTAGGAGTCTTCTTTTAAAATAATCTACACAGTCAAAGGAATTGAATCGAAAACGTATATATTGGCAATCTGTCAACTCAAGACAGAACTCTGCACGCAAAAACGATACATCCAACGACCCATTTTTCCTTAGCCCTCATTCCCTTCTGTGGTATTTTATAGTTTGTTTTATCATTTTTTGTCTTTTTTAATTATTGTTTTGTAATTGTAAACTGTATTTAGTTATTATTACACTTAAACAAGTTTCCTTGATTACTATTCAGGTTTTATTATTATGACCTTTATGTCTTTCGTTTTTCTTCATATCTGTCAAGTGAACAATTATCTTTCATAACCCCGACCCGTAAATTATTTCCATCCTTACATTCTTCTCTAAACCCTTGATTATTACGTAGCCTCATTTGGTAATTGAGGTCTCGGATATATTTATGATGTAATCTTTTCCATCTTTTTACAGACATATATTTACCATACAACTATAAATACGAATATACAGCTTAAGTAAATGATTTCATTGGAGAGAAAACTTCCTTCGCTGAATTCTCTTTCTTTACTCAATGACACAATGTGTTACTTTAATTATTTGAAGTTTTGATTACGTTTCTATTTGACATACATAATATTATAAGTTATACTGAAAGAGATATTGACAACAAGCATAAGACAATAGTTTTGCTTTTATTTTTATACTTTCATTTTGTTTACTATGATCGTCTAATCCTCATATAAACAATCTAACAAGTAGGATTTCAGAGGTGTTGTATCCACTGACGTGAATGATTTAGTTGTGAAGCTTTCTTCGTCTGGCTAAAACTAGCATTGTCTAGTAGATATTCTTCAAGGTCTCTAAAAACAAATAAATTAAAATAAGTGGACTATGGACAGCAGTAAAATTTATGATGAGCGTTTCATTTTATTTAATACTCGTCGGCTGGATGCACCTGCATTCCAGTGTTGATATTCACATTAGGATACGATACACATATGCTAAGAAACATTGACTGAAAGTCACTCTTGGATACTAACGAGACAATTCAAAATCCTATTAATAATGATATAAAGAATTGAAAAATTGAACAGAGAACTTCAAACCTCAGTAAATCGAACTTATATTAATTTTTTTACATATTTTACGGTAACCTAACTATATACAACAAATATGTATTTGTCATATCGATGTAATTCTTTTTTTGAATGTACAAAAATTATTAACGAAAGCAAAAAGTTTGTTTTAAAAAAAGGAAACGAACAAGTGAAAACAATAAAAGCGAAACAGTAATGTACTTGTTATCAATCGAACAGAAATAATGTTGAATTAAATTCGATAAAGTAAGCAATAAATTATGTGATTACATCACAGTCGATAAAATAAAGAATTACATATAACAGGTGAAGAATGAAAGAGAAATAGTAATGTCAACAATGAGAATATATATATATATATATATATATATATATATATATATATATATATATATATATATATATATGGTTGTAAATTTATGTGGACCAGAAACAAATAAAGAAAGCAATGTATATTAACACAATATTATGGTGGGAACCAGTGATGACGCAATTTACAATAGAAATTGTCTATTTAAAAAATATAGCAAATATGGATATGTCTTTCGACAGTGTTACTAACCAATAACGGCTTACTTTCACCGGACGCATTATTAAATTTTGCGTAATTCATCCTCTAATGAATACATTTTTAATTTAAGACTTTTCAATTCATTCAATATTTGATTAGATCGCGTTGTTGAAGCTTTAACTTGTTTTAACAGAGCCAAATCAATATCTTTATGATCGTTAATATTAAGTGATTCAGGTAAATTGATCCCATCGGTTAAACCAAGGGTTAACTAGAGAACAAACATGATAGAGATTTAGTATTTAAAAAAGTCAAGAAAATAAACAGAATATCTATTTTATTTTAAAGGAGTTAACACTTAGAAACTCTAATTGACAGTTGATCGTAACTAATTACCATTGGAATCACTTTACAGTTTACTGTAGGAATTATCAACACGCTTGAATAACTGTTGATTAACTTTAGATTTTCTGAATTGATTAAATCAGTTGAAGCAGACTAAATGGCATCATACCATTTTTTTTTTAGTTGTACATTTCGTACATAAGTAAGACCTATGTTAAATAGAATACATGTTCTAATTATTGACCAATATCTTATCAGTTAGCTTGTGGCTTTTTAAAATTATTTACAACTGAATGTAAAAAAATAAGTAATTCTATAAATCATAATTATATCATTTTGATAAAGAGTCATTATCAATAGTTTAAGCTGTTAGTAGATAAAGTAAAATTTTATATGCTTTAAGCTGTATTCTACAGTAGTACACAATGTAGATGATCATATTTTGGACAGCTTATACTACTGTCAATCATCACTAAGTTTTCTCGATTTAATTTAATTTGGTTTAAAATTTCATACAAAACAATGTTGAATAGCTATGACTGTAAATCTTTATCGACTAGGGTGACTGAGAAATATGCTACACATCCATAAATATCTCCTAATCCAAAACATGAACTGATGATTAATGTGCAAATAGATTGAAACGAAAAAGTTAAAGGCGATCAAACCACAATGTATCATCAGTCTATTAACTGAATGACTATTGATTTGAACTAGGTTAGTAAGTATAAACTATCTAGTTCAGATCTGTACAATAATCATGATTAGTAGTCGAAGAGCTTGAACACTATGATAGAAAATCGACCTTTGAAATTAAGAATTTCAGTGCTATTTCATACTTTTATTCGATGGATTCATTCCTTTTTTTAAAGTTGTTATTATAACTATCAGTTTTAGTTTTACTACATATGACATCTCCTAGCCAGAAACATTGAGCATTAGTTTTATTACTGATACAACCAGATTAACTAAGCTGTTTATATTGTCAGTTTATTGTTATTTAACTGCTTAGCGGATGGGCAGTTATTCATAAACTATACACTCTTCTAATTTCTCTGTCAGTTAATATTTAGGTTAAATATATGCCAGGGTTAATAAAAACGGTATGTCTTTTTTTATTCTCATTCATTCAATGAGTTTAAACAGAAAAAATATTAACACCATGATAAATTGCGTTATTATCACAATTAATGTAAAGAATGTACCTTTAATAGTTGTCGTTCAACCTCTTTTAACTTTTTACGCAACACACTAATATCTGTTCGATAACCTTCCATTTCTAATTGACGTCTACGTTCTAAATTCTGATAACGTTGTGACATAACTTGAACACGTTCATGAAGTTTTTGTGCTTGATCTTTAAATACATCCTTTGACATGACACCTTCTTCACGTGCACGAACTAACTCCTCTTCTAATTGAATAACCTGAATACCAACAATGCATGAAGGAATATAGTAAATTCAGATTACATAACTGATTTAAAATATAAAACGAATATGAATGTCATATAAACTAACTAGTAGTTAGTGCAATTAGAATAATACACGTTTTATCTTAAATTAATCAATAAATAGTCGGACAAAACAATCTCCGTGCTATAAATATCCTAAAAACTCTGTTTATAAACTTACAATTTTATTCATTAATTTTACACTCTGAATTTCCACACTATGGGCACAGAATAGATATTCTTCTCTTCCCAACAACTTTGACATTCAAAAGTCATATTATCTTTTAAAACTTTATTTCGTTTTATATTTTTCAATATCAATTAATGATCATATTTACAGACCAGCTATACAATAATATCATATTTTGGTGGAAATAGTGAGGGATTTCTTAAAGAAGATTTGGGTTTTTTACGATTTACTGGGAGCTACATGGAAGCCAGACAGAAGTATATTTAGGCAGAGGTTCGACGAACCATCGTTGTTCGTTATCAGGGTTCTTAAGTCTGTATAAGATGATGATCATCAAATTAAAAACGACTCAAAAGAGTTCATTACCTTTATAAGTGGAGATAGACTAGTGAGGACACAGTTCAATATACTAAAATGCCCTTTACCAGAAATTGATTTGTCAGCTATAAAACACTAAGTCGAACAGTTTCTGAACTTTTAATCAATGATGAATAGATTTTACCAATTTACAAAGGGCAGTAGACAGAGAATTACCCAACTTAGTGTCTGTACACAACAACTATAAACGCAAAGAAATAATAACATACAACTAGTAAGACCAAATGAATAGAAAGAATAAATCTCCTATGAGTGTACAGGAAACAGTTGAACGAATTATATGCATAAACTTCAATTGATCAATGTAATAAGTTCAACTGTGCATCAATTGACCTTTGAGCAGTGGAGTTAATGTCATGCTTGTCTGAACAAGTTGTAAATATAGCCAATAGTCCAAGTAACTCAACATGACGTGGACCATATTTCGATGTTAAGTGGTCAAAATTAGTGCATAAGAAAACCCAGGTTTCATGTCAGTTATTACTCATCAGTAAGGTACACACCTGTAATCTTGATAGGGCTGATGTTAACTGATGAATTCGAACTCGAATTATCCCATTTCACAGTCTTAGGTATCACCACTAAAATACTCAGGCCACACTCAACCTCATATATGACTAAAATATTCACAATAGATTGACCATTGAGTAGTCATATTTTTCTGGTCGATAATGTTTATTGGATTCTATCGGACTACTTCCAATCATTTTAAATATTAAAAACATGAAACTGTTTCTTATCACAGCGTTTCACACACACAACACACATACATCAAAGAATGCTCTAAAACGAACAACCTTATTAATATAGTTAAAGATGAATAAATACAATAAATCAATTTATTCACTTACTTGATCTCTATACATATCTGATAATTTCTGTAATTGATCTAATTGATGCTCTAAATTGTCAATTGTTTTCTCTAATTGAATTTGTTTTTGTTGATTGAATTCAATCCATGCATGAGCTTCTAAACTTTGAATATTATTAAATACATTAGTAGTATTATTTTTTGTTAGAGTATTGTTTATTTTGTCTCGAGGTGAATAACAAGTATTACGTTCACCATTTTTTAAAGCAGCTTTAATATTGAAGCAGATAGAAGGGGGAAAAAGTAAACAAAGACAAAATAAACTAATTAGCTTATCTTTAAATAGAAGGAAATAAGAAAATAATAGATTTTTATTAATTTATTAATTTTATACCAAACAGATATTTTAAGCTAAGTGGATAACGCGATGGCGTTTGAAGCGGACGGTACTGGGTTCAAGTCCCGGAGTGAACATCAACTCTGAGATGCAGGTACATCCAGCTGACGAGTCACAAATAGCACGAAACGCGCGTCAAACTGGATTCCACTGCTAGCCACTATCGATCTTTGCTTATAATGCTCGTAAATTAAGGCAATATCGAGGCATACGTAAAGTATGCACATATGCCAATAAGAGACTGAACAATTTCAGTCCTAAACATCAATGGGAAGATTCAAATAAAAATAATATCAAGTGAATCAAACAGATATTTATTGTCATAGATTTTCCTGTACTTATTCGCTTCCAGAAAATATTTATAAAATATAACGAATCTAAATTACTGAAAAACGTAAGAAGTATCACCATGGTAGTTCAAATACTCCTCTTCTACTTTCCTCTGTTCCCTGAGGGTACAAGAATCAATCATCAAAAAATTCATAAATTAAATATATTAGGCAATGAAAAGAGTAAAGCTAATCATATGGATTTACGGATGAACATCAATGGATGCTAACCAATGTTTAAAGACTTCTTATACAGATTTTTCGGATATTCACTAGTCAGACGGTTACAAAACGGGAATATTGTTGTAATATTACGCATTTTCTGTTGAGAATCCTTTAAAGTCTTTAAATATATGGCATTGAATAAGGCGATTATTATTATTATTATTATTATTATTATTATTATTATTATTATTATTAAATAAAACTGAGCTTTCCTATTACGTTTAAAAAAGTGAGATATGTTTTACAGTTAGTTCTCACCATCAATTAATATTAGTTGAAGGACCAGTTGAAATTAGGGATTATTAATGATTGTTTTGACTTAGTCACGGATTTTGACAGTTTCGTTTTCTGAAGTGGATGCTCAAGTCGTGAAGTTCTTATTTTTCTTCTGAGCAATATCAAGACAAACTTAAGGTGGAAGTGAAATATTTGCATTTCTCTACATATGACTAACAGCTTATCCAGTCCACATAGGAAAACTGGACTGAAATACATCGAAAGTAAACCCACAAAGATTATATTCCTAAACACGGCAGCAAAAACCTAAAAACTCACAAAATCGTCCGTGTAAAAACTTTATTTAAAAGAGTGAGAACACACTGAAACACACTTAGAGAGGGGAAAAATGAAGAAAAAATCTAATGGTTACCCTTCAAAAGAACGAACACCCATTCAACTTCATCAAGAAAAATCGACCTAGCTCATCAGCAGAAACAAAACCAAGTTTAGAAAACAATAAACTGATCATCCTACTATATATATAAAACACATAAGAAATTACGAGATTATCGAAACCTTTCGGAATATGTGTAGCACAAAAACCAGCATAATCACTTCAACCAATCCTATAAAAACTAAAGAACGAAATGACAGAAGATGAAAAACCGAACATCACCTGCAAAATAAATTATTCCAGTCGAGAAAAACACTACATCGGACAAAAAAGAGGCCCCCTTCATCTTTGCCCACATGAACATTAATTAGCGGTTAAATGTCATGACATATTTACGCCTATATGAATACATGTGGAAAACTGTGGACACGTATTTGACTGCAAAAATTTTGAGATCTTTCATAGAGCGAATGCTAAAAGCACTAGGAAGTTTTTAGAAGCATGGTACACAGTTCAATCGCTAATTAACAAACACGTCAAAATCGATCACATCCATGAACCATTCACAATCATCATGGACAAATATAGGATGAAGAATCAAATCAAAGTGATATACAATGTTATATCCTGGTGAAGACTGAATTACGAGTAACGTCTGAGACCTATTAACGGTATTCCTGCCATGTTGCATTAACCATCAAGAGTTGATTTAGTGGGTGTCGCAATTTATACATATGGGGTACGAACATACTATCATAACCAATCATCCCCAAAAACGAACGAAGGGTTGTAACCTCAGTCGGTCTGTGCATATTTTTGATAGCATTTATATTGTCTGGATCTGGTCGGCGACCGTCTTTATCAAATATATATCCAGGGTATTTAACAGGATCGAGCAGAAATTCACACTTTTCTTTTTGTAACTGAAAACCAGCTTGTGATATTTTGGTGAGCACCACGTCTAACCGACCCATTAGTTCCTGCGCAGAAGAACCAACAACTATAATATCATCCAAGTAAACTGCTACACCTTCGAGGTTAGACACCATAGTATCCATTATCTGATGGAAAATTGCTGGAGCTGGCTTAACATCAGACGGTAATCGGTTAAATCGATAGAGTTCACGGTGGATATTAATGGTTAATAACTCATTTGAATCTTCGTCAACTTCCACTTGTAAGTAAGCTTCAGATAAATCAAGTTTAGGAAAATAACGTCCACCGTTTAGTTTAATAAATAAATCCTCTGGCAAAGGTAATGGGTATGAATGATTTTGTAAAGCGTCATTTAATCCTGTTGAAAAATCTGCACAAAGGCAAATAGCCCCGTTCGCTTTCTGAACTACTAAAATTGGTACTGCCCATGCCGAATAATTAATAGGTTGTATAACACCGAGCTTCTCTAGTCGATCTAATTTTTTGTCAATAGCCGCATATGGAACTTGACGTTTTGGACGAAAAACAGGTTTTACGTCCTGTCGTAAGTATAATTTTGCCTTGTCAATTGTGCAGCATCCCAATTTATTCTGGAACAAGTTTTTATGTTTCTGCAAAAGGTCCTCTATCGTTATGACTTTCTTAGTTATATGAACTGTGGGTGGATCTCTAGGACTATTTGCGCTTTTCATCGTGCATATTTCACTCAATGGTACATCCCATAGATTTAGTTTATCTATCCAATCTATACCAATAAGGTCTAAATCATACCTGTTCGTTAAATAACAACTTCCTGTGAAGTAGTTATCTCGGAATTCAACAGAGCATTTTATTATTCCAACAAGCTTTAATATATCTCTAGATGCATTCCGTGCTGTGTGCTCAGTTGGTAATACTTGTGGACAACCAATTAAATTCCATGTTCGTTTAGAGAATAATGTGATATCTGATGCTGTATCCAATTACAATTGAATATGAACACCATTTACAATTAATTCCACATACTTTCTTTTATCTACTATGCTTAGAGCCAATGTGGCATATATACTATTTATATACTTGTTTTGGTACTGGTGAGGACGCTTCGTTTGTTTTGATCTGAAGCTTTCTCTAGTTCGGCAGACTGTTTCTTTATGGCCAACTTTATTGCATATAGTGCATCTATGATTTCTAAACCGGCAAAATTTTGAGAAGTGCCACGCACCATAATACCATCATTTGGTTGAAGGTTTAGGAATTTTCGAGTGATAGTTATGACTTTTGGTACTATTTTGTCTTTGACCTGTCTTAACAGCATGAACAGAATTAGATGGTGCAACACTTTTGGTTTCCAGCATAGCTGTATCTTGTTTTAAGTTTATTAATCGTTGGCATTCATCAGTAACAGTTTGTAGTGTCATTTCCTCGTCATGTTCCATACGGGATAATAACTTCATGCGAAAATCAGCATCGCTGGGAGAGTTAAGACCAGAAATGAATAATAAGCATTTAAATTGATCATTAGTTAATACATTTAATTTAAATCGTTCTGCTTGTAAATTTACTCTCCCGAGGTACGTTGTATAGTCTTCATCAGCTTCCTTAGTCAGTTGTAGACAGTTATACCGGGTACGAAATAAGGACATCTGTTCACAAAACATTTTGTCTAAAATGTTGACAGTTTCATCGAAATTAACTTCACGTGGGTTTTTAGGCAGGATATGGTTTTTATACTTTTGATGCTCGTTAGGACCAAGCTTCTGTAAGAGCAGCCGGACTTTCTTTGAGTCATCCATAGCAGCAAATTCCACTCGGAAAATATCTTCAATTCTGCCAAACCACGCTTCAAAAGTGTGACCATTGTCTGAATCAAATATAAATTCTGGGACTGGATTTAGATATGACTCTGTACTTTTATGTTCTGGAATATCTTGTTGGATGGATAGTTTCTCCGAAGGTGTTTCTAGGAATTTCTGTTGAGAAGCTAACATCTGCCGCTGTTGTTGTTGAAGTTGTTGCTACTGTTGCTGCTGCTGTAATAATAATATTAACTCCAAAATCACCGGCAATTATTATAGCTTATTTCTTTCCAAAATCTGAGTCGCCAATTGTCGTATTATTATTATAATTTTTTTGCCAAAATCCTCGTCGCCAATTTGTTGTGACTTTATCGTAATCTACCGAGCAAGACCCAACTCAGGAACAAATCATCAAGAAAGTCCAGGAAAAGGAATTTCTGGAAGAAAGAATAAAATACCTTTATAGTTAATGAAACGAAAACCTAGAGCTAACCTCTGCAAGGATAAACGAATGGAACAGCGATTCAACTAGCGACATGGTGCATTGCTCAGAAGGTTTAGGGTGGGACAAGCTGTAATAGCAAGAGATTTTACGGGAGTAAAGCCAACCTGGAAGTTTGGCATCATAATACAAAAAAAGGGAAAGTCATCTATGAAGTGAAAGTTGAACAAAAGAAATGGGTGCGGCATGCAAACCAGATACAGACAACCAGACAAGAGAGGGAGACAGGAAATGCTATAAAGTCGAATACACCATTAAATATATTAGCTGAGTCGGATAATGAAATTAAAAACGACCCAAATAATAATAAAACGTATACAACACTCCCAAGGAGGTCGCAGCGCATCACACGGAAACATAATAGAATAAAAACAAATCCTAAGGATCATTATTATCTCTAATGCTTCAAGAAAGGGGAGGTGTTATATCCTAATGAAGATTGAATTACGAGTAACGTCTGAGACCTATTAACGGAATAATATTATCTATATATTCTTATGGTATAACTGTTCAGTAACTAGATTGTGTATATCTATATATCCCTTAATATCAGCTTTATTTTGACCTAGAGATTATTATTGTACGATTTACTGTTCCTAAGTTATACTCAGTTTATTAATTACTGTCTCCCACGTTCACAGCCAATTTTGGCTATATTTTGTACAAGTGTTATTTTCTATTTTATGGTGCGATGCGGTCTGTTTGTTTGGTATATAAACCCAGTATGTCTGAAATAAATGATTCGCATAGTGGAGGCTGTTATTGGCATTCTGGACTCAGCTGGACGGACTAGGCGAGAAACGAACCAATAGCACGCTTGGCTGGTCAGGCCAGTCGAACGTCATTCGCATAGTACAGTATAAGGGCGAATAAGTCGTATTTTGATGGGCGAATAGATTACGTGATAACAAGCGGCTCATAAAGTCACAACACAATCAAAATAGAGGTAGACAATGGCAGGTTAGAGGTCAGCAATAACCAATCAAGGTTGTGGTCAATAAGACAAGCTGTGAGTCATATGTAGAGAAACTTCGTCAAAATCTTCCACCTGAGCTACAAATCTTCACCATCTTATATTCAGAGATTCTCCAACAACGTCCATATAAATGACCTTTAACATGATATTAGGACACTGAATTCCACATCAACGGTCTAAAGTTGTAGTAGCCGCCGCGAGACCTAAAAAACCTGAATCACTTCACAGATTGAGCTGAAAACAAAAATTAAAATACTACATAAACCCCAAAACAAATTTTTCAAAAGAAAAATAACCCTATTAGCACAGGTCTAATGTTATCGCTATGTGACTGAACAGATGGTTAATTAGTGTACTAGATTAAAACCTCACTACACAAATTAAGAGGGAGAAAATGAATCACTAGTTAATTAGAGAAACAAGGATGATTTTCAAGGATAGCATAACAAAATATCTATGATATGCGTAATGGCATTGATTTACATTATCTTTATATTGTGTGATAAGTAGAAAAGTCTTCAAGAAATTAGGATATAATTATATAGGAAAAATTAATTATATCAATGAAAGTATTCTTTGTATGCCACATCTAACTGCATTTGTCGATTTAGATGCATACGAAGTAGAAAGTTAGTACAACATGTTTCCACTAGCTTGAATTAGCACTGTAAAAACATTTTGCTATAAATGGTCAAATATTAAAATGATTTAACTCCTTACCATTTGATGATAAAGTAATTAACTGACCCAACTAAGACTTACAAGCAAATAGTCCCAGGCACTTGAGAGATTACAATTTGTTCAAATGATTCGTGATTATAGGTTTTGTTTTATCGTTGGGTTACTTGGTAGTTAATCATGTCACGATCTTAATCAATGGAATTACGTCAACACTGAAGACCAAGCAAAATAAAACCATTTACCTGTCAATAAAGTAGCAGTGGTAAACTGTATATCTCCAAGCACAAAGACTTACGAATTTTTTCCTGAAGTTCACATCAAAAAAGATCTTAGTTAGACAGACTATGAATTCCAGACAGCTCTCGTCCTATGGAGGAACTCATCAGCAACAATGAACATTACGACTCCGCCAGAGAACAAACCCTGGACCTCCAAGTTTCGTGAAGTGTTTAACCTTTTAGAACTGTCATAATTGTTAATCAATGTACACTGACTTAGTGATCTAAAGGGTTAAGGACCCGCCACAGAACCTGAAGGTACTGGGTTTGGCCCTTTGTGGGGTCATGAATGTCCACTGCCCCTGAGGAGTCCCATAGAAAAATGAAACGACTGTTCAACGATTGTCTAACTCAGATTATTTTTGATGTAAACTATAAAACTCAAAAATCTCCACAAGCCTCTTATACGAATAATTACTGGGTTAAAAATTTATTAACATTTAACGAACAGAAAGATAAATTTCAATGTAAAGTATCATGATTTAATACTGGATAACCTACACAGTGTTGATGGAGCAACACTAGAAGAATTCAATTTTTTAACACTGATTTGACTTAAAAGTTTATCTTTTTCTAATATCCAAACCTTTTCAGCTTGACGAAATTGATTTCTTTGTGCTAGAAATTCCTTAGTGCTGTCATATAATAATCCTTGACAGTGTCTAAGTCTAGTTAAAAACAATAGAAAAAGATTAATTTATAATGGGGAATAAAAATTGTGAACAATAGGAATGACAGATCGTTGAAACAAGCACATAAAAATTTTCTCTATAGAAAGTATACAAATGACTGGTATTATATTAACATGTATAATCAATTCGATGTATTGGACAATTTCTATGAAATCCATGTAATAGAGTACCAATGAAATATGGCATAAACACAATAAAAAAAACACTTTCGAATCAGTAAATAGACTATTATTCAGAATACTACGAGGAAATTAGATATTATAATCAGGATACTGAATTTACTAGTATATGATTTTTTTGAAGGCTAGTAATTCTTCCATAATAATGAAAACTATCAGGAATTAGTGTCAAGATGATGAATAAAAATGAGTGGAAGGTATTCTGTATGTTCAAAACGACATAGTTAGTTATGGGAGAGGGTGGCAAACCGTCTTTAGATTTTGTCAATCGGGTCAGTTTTGATGTGTTTTGACTCTAAACTACTGTTTAGAATTTTAAAAGTTAATATATAATTCAAGTAAATCATTTATTGAATACAATTCATGTATTTTACTTTCAGCGAAACTTCACGTGTGAAATTTAGTAAAACTATCCGGCTATCTAAATTCTGAGGTTGTTATGTTTTGAGACCCTGATCGATTTCGCGTGCAATAGTCACGCATCAGAATTCTGATGAGAATTTATTCTATTCCGCGTCTACTATTTCATAGACTTGACTAATTATACGTCCGACCTGTATTATCAACTGTGAGCCGAGGTAGATTAGGTAAGATGGTATTTGGAGGTAGTCAACAGGCCAAGCTCCTACTGGTTTGATGTCCGTTAACTTTTCTCTATTTCTTGCCTTAGTTTCAAAGAGAAGTCTGCAGCCAGCTTTTATTGTACACAATTCAACTATGGCTCGAAATTCAGATAATAATACAGAGCAAAATCTTGGCCGCATGTCAACATAATTAAGAAATTACAATAACGACATAACTACGCAACGAGTGAAGAAGAACTGAGTAATAGGTTCGTAATAGACGAATAACAACTTAGGAAAGGTAAAGCATAAGAATACAAAAATACAACAATTTAAGTATGTAATAGTTTAAGAACAAAAATACAAGTAGGATAGTTCCGAAAGTTCAACTTTTCCAATACTTGTTCAGTGCAGTTTGAATCTATGACCTACCAGTTGAAAGATGAGTGTTTCGATAATTAAGTAACCATTTCACAAATTAACTACAGGTAGTTAAGATATTAAGTTCTATATACCGATTACAATGTGTCACGTGATAATGAAACCACAATCATAATAAATCACATAAAAAGATTAAACCTGTCAAGATAATATTCTTATAGAGCGAGAGGTTGAATAATAGTCTCCGGACAATTCAGAATATTCTGCATCCATTCACCATTTATTTGAACTGTTTAAATCTATAGGATCATCATTCATTTCAGAATGATATAAAGTAACTAGTAGCTTATGTTTCGTAATTTTAGATTATATCACTTACAGACGAATAAAGTTACAACCTAGGACTGTGAAGTACTAAACTAGTCTTGAAGTGTATTGGTTGTTTGAATCTTCCCATTGATGTGTTAGGACTGCGACTGATCATTATATGTGTATCTTGTGTGGATTGCCTTGGTATAGCTATGAAGTCATGAGTATTTTAGGCAGACTTAGATATACCTACGTCCCAGAGTGAATGTTCACTTCGGGACTCGAACCTAGTACCGTTCGGTGCCCAAGTAGGACGAAACGCGCATCCTGGAATCTACTGCTAACTACCATCCAACTCTGCTTAGTCTTCAAGTGACTTTATCATCGGGTTTGAGTTACTATTTTATATTAATTTAATTACGAAACTGTAAGAAAATGACTAGAATCCGTGAAATAAAATGAATTTATGTTATTCTACCTCAATAATTGTTTATTATCTGGTTAAATCTAAAAATGAAGTAAATTGTTCAAAATATTTAGGCATATTCGATTTAAAATAATTTATTTTAATGTAATTAACTAAGTGCAGATTCGTATACAAAACTTTGAGCTACACATTTTCCATATGTGGGGGATAGTGTAGGATTCGCGGATTATAGCTGTATTATGAGTACCTAGTTTTTAATGTACAATCTTTCTCTTCATTGATTAATTGTAAATCTTAATGGTTGAATTCATGAGTCGATCCAAGATATTAAAATTATTGCGATCTCCACAAATCTCCGTTCTGATAATAGTCACATGCTCATTGATGACTAGCTTCAAGATGGATTTCGTGGAGTTCTAATGGGAAGCAGTGACCAGTAGAGTTTAATCCGTGTAGGGTGGACACAGTTATCCACCTCAGACAATGGATGAAGGGTTGCGCAAGATCGTGGTTTAGTTGAAGTTAGACATTAACACCTTTGGATGCCGACTCAATGGTATAGGGGTTAGTTATTCACGTGTAAGGTCCTTGGTTCGAGTTCCATATGCGGGATCGTGGATGCGCACTGCCAAGGAGTCCCATACTAGAACGTAAGGGTCGTCCAGTGCTTCCAGATTTTCAGTGGAGGTCCAGCCTAGATCGACTCATAAGTTCAACTAATAAAATTATTACAATCTTCACAAATCCCCATTCTGGTAGTAATCGTAAATTAACTGGTGTCATATTGGTTGGTAAATTTTTTCTCCCTTTATCCAAATTAAATTGGTCATTTTTGTACTTCTCTATGTTGAAAGTTGATAGTTTTTTTGGTCTGTCACCTTGAATATGAGTTTTAACCTCAGCTAATTGATACCTATTATAGAACCATTTATTATTATTATATATTCATATCTAAATATCGCGAGAAGCCGTGACAGTCTTCTGACTTTAATGGACCTCTGGTACGTTATTCCAGTGAATCTAACAGCTATCCAATCGCTCCAACTGGAGTAAATGAACTAGGATTTGCAACCTGAAACTTAATGGTCAAGAATTTATTATTTTAACACTATGTAGAATCTCTTCAAAGTTTCAGACATATTTATTCTTCGTCTGGGCCACGACTGTTTACTGAGTGAAGATAAGCATGCAAACGCTAAAATTAATAACATAAATAACTGTTATTATATTGCAAATTAATTTTACTCTCGGTTTTATAATGTTGACTGTTTGTATTTGTCATAATAAAACCATTATTCGGCCTATAATTTAGTTCATAATTGTTGGTCTGAATTGTGTATCACGTGATCTGATCTAATGATCTAGTTATCAGGTATATTATACAGCATCGTGATCTAGTATGGGCACATTATTATCAGGTCTAGTGTTATTGTATTATTGCACTACACATCAGAGGGTGAAACCTTTTATTTTTTAGCAGTATATCAATTATAAATCAACTTTATTATTTAGAATAAAACATACTGTTCTGATGAAACGCGTATTTTTTCCTCGTGACGTTTACGTAAACTGTTCATCTCTTCCTGTATTGTTTTACGATCTTCCATTAATGAGTCAATTTGTTCTCGAGCATTACGTGTTTGTTCTTCCAATTGGGTTTGTAATGCTCTTAAAGAAGATTTTGACATTTCAAGTTCTCTTAGCACAGCTTCATGTTCTGTTCGAGAAATTGTATCCGATTTAGACGATTCTGATAAATTAGAACAAACTTTATGGTCCGCTTTAATTTGACCTGATATTGTATGGTTTTTTCAGGTTGATACACATGAAAATATGAGGGGAAAAACAAGATGCACAAATGTGAAAGAAATTAATCACAACAGTAGTATAGCATAGGTAAAACAACACTAAAATAAATCTATCACTAAAAAGTTTTTACAGAATTGATATCTAACAATCTTATTCGGTAGCGAATAAAACTTTCAACTTATGTATTGGTAAACTTAGACACCTAGATAAGTCATAGCTATTTTCAAACGAAGACTTGAATATAGGAGAACATTCTTATACAACAGATTGAGACAGTTATTTTAAAATAAGGAAAATATCATTTGCATTTTAAAACCATAGATATACTATGGGGAATTTTATTTTCACAAGAATAACTTGAATGGATTTTTAATATGTTTCAGTTGGAAAGTTGAATAGTTGAACATATTTGAAGTAGGTTTTGAAATAAACCTACTGAGATGTAGTAAAAATAAACTTTCTAAAATTCACAATAAGCTCGGAAGTATAACAATACTAGGGGGAGTTAGAAGGAAAAGTTAAGCCTCTAACAGCCATGTTTCAAGATATTTCTCAGAATGGAATAACGGCAATCTTTAGGGAACTAATAGTGACCGACAGAAGCCGATCGCTACTACAGACTAGATAAACATGACAGCTATTTTAAATATCTCAAATTTCTTTATGGTAGAGCAATTAGATTAGCGAAGTGATAATGGGTTTGAATGCAACAGCAAAGGGTAATGAAAGGTTCAGATGTTAGAAAGACTATAAATCCCCTCGAGATTGCAGATACACTCTGTTAGGGACTCCCAAATAGCGCGAAACCTGTGTCCAGGGATTTGTATCGACCGACTCCAGTAGCTGGAAATCAAAAAAAGGGCATGACGATTGCGAGTTGCCTTTTCTGGTAATTAAATTGCAATTTGATAAGTAGAATTTGATCGAGAATAAGTAACATCTATATTGTTTTTATTATTATTTGATAAACTAGTGTAAAATTATAGCAAAAATCTCCGATCATCGCAATTTAAGCTGACTTTTCAGCTTTTATGAATGTTTGTACAAAGAGAAACAAAATACTTACTTCCGCTTGGTTTTAAAATTGTTTTTCCTGATGCAGTAAATTCCATAACACCCTGAGAAGGAGCTGTTGGAATGATCGGTTTAACAGCCATAGCTGAAATCCATGTTGTGTTTCTGTCCGTTTTTCTATTCTCATCGTCAATCAAATGTTCACCATTTTCATTATTAACTGGTTCTTGATTAACAACATTTTGTGATTCAATGTTAGGCTGTTTTAAAAAATAAGTGATTTCATTTGGTCCTAAATTGGATAATTGTAATAAATGTTGTATTTTACGTCGATCATCTAATTCACGAATCTTCAAACGGTCATTTTCGGCATATAAACGTAAAACATGTTCGCGTTCTTGAAAAAGATAAACCTGTTTACAGTAGGTACATGAATAAAAAGTGTTAAGTGGTAAACTGTTCCGAAATTCAAATAATGAAGTTGAATATATGTTAAAATGAAGTCAGATTTAGGAAAACTTAGTTTCTTCAATAAAACTACGTAACAGAATCACTAGGCCTTTAAATATGTAAACAGAAACCAGAAGTATAAACAAGTAGTCATTAAGATCTATCAGTTATGTTGAACGACTAAATACTTAGGTGTACTGTCAAATAATCTCCAAAACTTTTGAACGAGTTACTCTGCCAGCTTTGAAGCATGAAGATGGAAAACACAAAAATGAGAATTTTCGTTGTATATAATTTTGAAGACGGAGTTAATATTCCAATATCCATCCACGGGCATATAGAAATAATCACTTGCCTTGACTAAATACTACTTAACAATTCGTAAATTTCCTTCTTTTTTTAGCCAATTTAATTGATGTAACAGATAATTAGGTGATTCGTTGTTCTTTATATATTGAGTAAATACTGGAGTGCAGTAAATTGAATGATATCTCAATATCATTAGTAATAAAGATCGGATAAGTTAGCGTCTATCTGGAATCAGTAGCTTAGTGAATAATGAGCTAGTATTTGAAGTGAAAGGTACCGGGTCCGTGTCTCTATGCGAAGGTCGAAGTTAGGATACAAGCACATCCAGATGGCGAGTCCCAAACAGTATGAAATAGTAGTTCTAAATTTCACTGGTAGCCATGATCTGTCTAATATAAACATTTAAGTGATAATTTACCTTGGGGTATTTTATAACCTATAATATTATCAAACACACAAATTTCATGATTTACAGAACACGTCAAATTCTGTTGGCATATAAATAGACAACAAAATAAAAGGAAAAATAAAGTCACACAAGTGAATAATGAAATGATGGCTACCTACCTGTATGATAAAGAATAAAAACGATTTACATCAGTTATTATAGACTTAAAGGGATATGGATTAAAAATGGTCATTGGTATTATTTCTTACTACGGTATAAGTGGTGGATATTAACTTCCTGGAACTTCTATTTAAAATTGATTTTATTTCCTAAGTCACTGACTTTCAAATTGTTACAAATATTAGTATAATTTCAGTTCTTTCTGGTTCCCGTTTTTAACTTCTTTACTGTGACAACTTGTAACAACACATTAAAATAATATGTTACACGTTGTTTCTAACTACCAATTATAATATTTTGGAATGAGACAAGAATGTTTGATAACACAAAAAACTCGGATGTATAGCATTATTATATCTAGAAGGTTGATTACTTGATAGAACGCGTATAACTGAACACTAGAACGACAAAACCCTCCCAAGTCGCAAGGAGAAGACGGAAGACTAGTGAAAGGAATGTTATTCCAAACAGTGTCAATTATGGGTACAAATTGTCAGGTATTTATAGTTTTTAGTAAGAACAAAAATCATCATTACAGTCCTCCAGTCCGCATACAGGGGGTTATTAGCCTTGTCCAATCGGGAAGCTACACGTAGGAATTCTAGAATATTCTTCCTAAAAGTGATTGGATGGAATATTTTCGGCTCCTTCTGAGCCCCTTACAGCTTTCTCGAGTTCACCTGTGGTCCGTAGTCACAAACATATTACCATTAACTTAGTTACTATCTTAGACTAGACTAGTATTATTATGCTTTTATTATTATGTAGTTTTATTACACTTATTATCATCATTTTAAAATGTTCAAATCGTCAAACAACAACGAATTGTAAAAATCTAAACAATTAAAACTAAATAGCTCTAACGTTTCACTCGTCAGTTTACTTCAGTCTTCTTCGGGTAAACAATTAACATTAAAATTATCAAAGATAAATAAAGTCAAAGACAATTTTGTGCCAGGCCATTGGTCTGACCATGTTTTGTAGTGTTGGTTTTGTTTGCATTGAAAATTTGGGTGAGACGATAATTTATGGAGAACCTTTGAGTAAAGTAACCTTGACAATATCCACCTAGTAGGGTTGAATGAAGTTTCAAAATTGGAGTGAGGAACAAAGATTTAGATTGACAGTCAGACGTTAGAGTAAGAAATCGAAATTAAGGCTTTCATCATGAACTGATATGAGCTAGAATGCCAAACTGTTATTTTGAGATATAAATGAATTTCACGCCAAGACCCGCTACCTTAAATTTGATTGATTCATCCATAAATTACAGTCTTGTAACGATTTGAGTCATTTCATGTACAAAAATATCCAAAATACTACATAGGATTATGTGTTTATGTATGTATTTTATGGTTAAGATTCAGTGAACAAGTCAAACCATTTGATGGTTAATGTTGGATTAATCCTTCTGTTTATCATAAAACTATAAACATATTTGAGTAAATTGAGCTATTCAAAGTATATGTTGATAGAAAATAATTGGATTGTGTATCGTAATGTTATTCAACCCTAGAATAATAATAAGCTAATCAATTAAATAGGTAGGTTAAGTTATATCAACGACCTTGAACAAATCCTTAGCCAGTCAACTATAAAACGGTGTTTATTCATAATAAAATCTATCATATAAAAGTAAGTAGATAAACACTTTTAATATGATTAATTATTTTTCTTTCCATATTACACTGAACACAATTTACCTGCATATCAGACAATGCTCTTTGTAATTCTGAAATTTCAGCATCACGTTGACTTAATTCTAAACTAAGTGATTCTTGATTTCCTATAGCATCATAAATTTTGTCTAAACGACGTTGAACAATTTCATGATCTTCAGTTAATGTTTCCACTTTATGACGATAATATGATAATAATTCTTTTGTAGAATCATCTAATTGATTAAGACGATTATCAAGTATATCATTTGATTTTGATGCTATCGGTGTTTCTTTTAATTTAAATGAAAATATTGTTGATTGGTTGTTGGGAATAGAATTGGTGTGATTTTTAGATTGTATAGAATCTTTAGCTAATGATGACAATGATGACTTCTGTGATTTACGTCTACTGAAATTTTTAAAAAGAATATATAATGATAATAAAACGAATCACTTTAGTATTTTATTATACGTAAACCGTCTGACATTAGATACGACTAAATTATTCTTATGAAACCTACAGTATATTAATTCGAGTCAGAAATAGTCGAACAAAATTTATCGTCAGATAAACAATGAAAATCACTACCCTTGTATAAATCTACACATTGCTTTTGGATTCACGCTTGTTATGATGAATAGAAACATTTCTAGGTTGTTTATATTGACGTAGTTGAAATGGAATTTACATATATAACAAAAAAGTGTCAAGTCAAACGACTGAACTATTAAACTGCACGTTCACTGCTAAGCATTAACTACTGAGAAAAAGGAAATCACATTTATTGTTAAGTGATAATACAGTATTCAAGTCATGGTTAGATTTAAAATGTTTTTGATGTAGTGGCTTTTAAACTTTTCAAAACTCAGCATGACTTATAATATAATATACGGTAAACAATAAGTCAATTACACAAATAAACGTTTCGCATTCCTAAGGAAAATTCATAGCACTTATTCGGATCGCAATTATATTTACATGCCTTTATGCAGGTTATATCCAAATATTTTGTCTTTAGCCTGTGTATTTGTAGCATTCTGATATAACGATCAAGTGAAACATGAAACCTTAAAATCGAAATACTGATTTTAGCTGGAAAGCTGTACAATTAAAGTAGACAATATAAGGAATAAAGGTTTACAGACTTCAGATAGTGCGGCACCTTATAATCTGTTACTCCATCAAAGTATCGTGAAACCGAAACCACATCCTTTGAAGGGAGTAGGTAGGAGACTCATCATATGCGAGAACGTTTACTGATAAGAAGCACAGGACCGATCAGAAGCCATAGTTTTGAAGGACGCAAGTCTTTTAAGGCAAACAAATCTTCGAGTGGTAGCGTAGAGAGTAGGGATTTGAAAAAGGAGAGACCTGTTATCCGCGAGTATAAACAAGTCACACTATCGAAATGATACAGTGCGTATGGAATCAAGAATTCGGTGTTTAAAATTTAGTCGTACAAGAATAAGCTACTGAATATTGTGAAGTAGTATGGTGTATTATATAAAAAGAGTGTGGGAAAAGTGCAGAGGTTTAGTATGTGAATTGTATTAGTTTCCTTTGAACTGGGATTTTCTGTTTGAATGTGGGACCTAAAACCAAGCTTCAGCCGCTGAAATCATTTCAAAAATAATTTTATATCTAATATCTTCCATATATTTGAAAACGGGTTTCGGTTAAGCCATTCTTTCAAATTTTGATGAATGTTCATATAAAACATAAAATAGAAAATATATATTAATAATTATCTGATGAACACAAAATACATAATCTCTCATGCTTACAAAAAATATTGGACATCATTCAACACCATGGAAACATATTATTCAGAAGTTCAAAAAACACTGAGCGATATAATGAGTGAAGAAAATATACTATAAAAAGAAAAACTTATATTTCAGAATAAATTTAACATACATTTGGAATACTACTTATAAGTATAAAAGAAACTGTTACCTTAAGTTATTGGGTAGTTGTGGTTTGTTTTCATTTCTAAACGTAACTGGAGACATTACTTGTAAACAACCATTCAAATCCAAGAAAATATTATAGATCCTTTTAAAAAAGTTTAAAAGAAAACCTATTCGTGTCTGTATTTGAATTAATAACCAAATAAAAATAATAACCACGCAAACGAATAATTTGATAGTTTCGATGAAAATAGTTTTATCATCGGTAAATTATGGTAAATAAAAATTAGCAATTAATAAATCTTAATGACCTAATGGTTAGATATTAATTAAAAGAAACTGGACCCAGTAATTCTTCTTTCTCACTATATATATATATATATATATATATATATATATATATATATATATATATATATATATATATATAAAGCAAACATGATTGTGTTTCGTTTCGATTTGCAATAGTTCATCTCGGCACAGTGTAAGTAGGAATTCACATGATGAATAGCGAAGGGTAGAAGACAACAATGTCAATTCAAATGGAAACAGTTTGGAAAGAAGTGATTAGATCAAAGAACAGTAAGTGTCGTATAGTACTATGTTAAGGACTTAGATAAGGAATAAGTTTAAATGTGGTGAGCATCTCGGGCGGGCTCCTGCTGAACCGTCTATATAAGCTTTCACAACTTAGACCAGTATTTATTGCTATTCTTTGGTTTCTTTGCCATTTATATTTTTCCATCTTACTCTTGTGCTAATTAGTGTTGCATATTGTGGTAGCTGACTAGGTATGAGTAACATATACCATAACCACATCAGTCGGTGGTCTGCAGCCCAATCAAACGTGCTGTTTTTGCCCGTATACTTAACTGTAAAATTATATGCTCATTAACTCCATCATGCGTAATACTTTTAAGACACCTAAGATCAAATACTTAGTTTAAATATGTTTTTCTGCCTCAAAAGATCATGTTTCATAGCCGTAAGACAGTGAAAAACAAACTAATGAACAATATGATAGGCAAATGGACATCTTTCTTGAGCAGAATGGGGTACTACTTGGTAAGGGCCAAAAGAGATTTTCGTACCTATGCAGAAATTCCATAGGCTACCAACCAACTAGGGAAGATTAAACATCCAAGATAATCAAAGAGGTCAACGTACTCTACTACTTTTCTCTCTATGATTAAATTAGATACTGATGCAACACTTTGCATTCAAAGGGATAGAAACCCAACGCCAAAATTCTTGTATTGTTATTCAAAGCGTTTATAAGACTGTATTTTCTCACCACTTTTATTAAACAGGAATATGCAATGCGCATACTCTAAATTAATCAAGGTATATACGGGTAGATGATTTATCCATAAAACATTACATGGAGAATTGCCACAAGAACCCCATCTATGACAGAAGCAAAGTGGATAGTTGTAGAGAACAATATTTGATATCACCAATTCTAATGACTATTCACCGTAAGCTTTAACCTAACCAGTAGTGTTCGAGTAAACAACCTTCAGCAGACTAGTGATTTATGATACATCTTGCAATAACAGACAATCCAGAAAAGCACATTGATTAAAAAATAAAATGCAACTTTCTGGTCATGAAGTACAACTACATTCAGCCCTCAGTATGTTTGAGTACCAAAACTCATCGGAGGACGAATATTTGATCTAAACATCCAAAACTGGGCGTGAAACTTTGTTTCTCACGAAATTATTGTCTGTAAGATCCATGTGTCAGGTGAATAATGATGCTAATATCATAAACGCCATATTAGATAAATTCGTTACTCTATGATCATAACAAAAGAGGATTTCTGTCCTTCATTATAAACAAGGGCGATCAATAGTCGCGACCAATTTGATCGGACTACGTTCAGATTTTAAACTCTAGTAAACACCTTAGTGAATATCAAAAACGGATCAACATGCCTTGAATACCACTGAAGTTAAACTACATGGACCTGCTAATCTACTTAAGCTTAGGACGGTTATAATATTTACGAATTCGCTAGTAGTTTAATATTTGAAATCGACCACGCATTCAAAATGTTCATGAATGGTGGAGAACCACAGGAGAGCTGGGAGCTACTTGTTGAATCGTTTTTCAATGTTCTATCAATCGTTCCAATGGCCCGATCTGAGAGTGGATCATCGTTCAATGTATTTTGGTGATACCGAAGGTTGAATTTTTAGTCAGTCTCTCTGATGAGCCTAAATAAGTGTCTAGTGTTATCTGCCTCCTCTGTATTATCCATTTATTTTGCTTCTGTCTTCCAAAGACTGTGGTCACTGTCAAACTGGTGAATTTCAAATTGTGATGAAATGGCTTCTCAGTTTTTTATTTAGAAATGATTTTACATATGATACATAGCTGAGAAAAGGAACAAATTGTTTTCTATCTATTACATTGCTAGAGATTGATATCTCAATCAAAACATTACTTTTGATAGTAATGTCTTTTCTCCGTAATCTTTTCTTGTTATGACATTTATAAGTATAAATCCCGGAAAATATCATGTTATTCATGTGAAACCATTCTTACACAACTACCTTTGAACTCACTCGCTACAAAATAACATAAAATTATATTTCCTACACAGTAAAACTAAACGCACAAACATGCAAAATTTAAAACTTAAAGCATTATTTCTCAAACGATTTGCCGATTTTATTTAAAAGAAACAAATTGAAATTAAATACAAAAAATGTACAAATATTAGCACAAAAATATAATTCATTTATCTGGAGGACTTTCTTTGTTGTTTTTTACTTGTAGATGCAGTAATAACCTTGGGTTCTGTCGGACGTCGCCTACTTCGGCGGCAACCATCCTTGTACACACTTTCAGCTTGTTCCGCTAATTCTTTAGCCCACGTTGAGGGCCTTTTTAAGAGTCGAATTCTTTCACCCCAACTAACGGTTTCTTTTACATCGGTTGTTGTTTCCTCAGACTTTTTAGACGGATTTGAAGTGATTTTTGAGGGCGATGACTGTTTACTAATTTGTTGATTGTCAGGAGGTTGAGAAACTGGACTGTTCTCGGCACTTTTACGACTTTTCGTTTTACCCCCAACTATTCCAGCGCCAACTACTACGCCAATACGTGGTGTTTCAAGGAGATTTTCAATATCTGGAATTTTTATATCCACTGAAGGAGACGCTTTAACCAAAGGACTATGAATACAGGACTTTGTGCTGGGAGTAAAACGATTTTTAAGACAATTTTGTTTGGTTGAGTTTTCCAATTCCATTGAAAGCATCTCAATACGGTTTAGAGAATCCTATGATGTTATAAGAAGTGAGGAAAAAAGGTAAAGTTATTGACCTATAATTATATTAGTTTTGGATGTCAAATTTAATAAACTTTGTGGGCTACATCATTATTTCATTAAGAGATAGTTATCAGCGTAGAACAATGGCCACAAGTATATTTCAAGAAACTCAAGTTACGAAAGATCCGCTCTAAAATCTGAATCACCTGGAAGATATTTTATCTGGCGTCTAAATTTACCGGTATTTATTTATCTAAACACATAAACATTGGTACAAGGAGGTACCAGGTATATATGCGCCGGGCTGAAATACTCTTAGGGCGCCCAAACCGAAGTAGGTGGTTTTCTTAAAGAGCCACTCCAGAGCCTATGACCTAGAGGTCTAATCCACAATGCAGTGGAGCAAAGTTATGAGATGCAGTCCTATAGTAGGCGGTAACCAACAATAGGTTCATACGCCATTTGTTTCCTCAGGATCATGAAGCCCATGTGCACCGTTAGTTTGGAATCAGTGTTTTCCGATTCCCCCAAGGGGATCTTCCATATCCACCAACCCCGTTAGTGCCAGATATTCTCTTTTCGTCGTCGCAATTTCGTAAACAACACCTACGTCGCGAGAAAGCAGTAAGTAGGAATTCTCTGTCAGTCCTATTCAGTTCAGAATTATAGATTGATATATTTTGATGTATAGAGACATCGTATATGAAATTGCTCAACAAATTTCCAGACTAATGAAACACATGATTAAAAATGAACTGGTTTCCATTTAGTTGACAACACATGTTCTTATCAAAAGCTTACATAAGTACTGAGTATATAATAGCTGTAAGCTCTAGATAGTCTCAGAAAGATATTGGCTCTTTTTAGAGTACCTTTTCAGGTTCTAACTGCAGAATAGTTTGAATCCATATATGTTCGTATCTAGACGTATACAAAAACGTACTATTAAAAATATATCCATAGTTGATTTAAAGGTGAGAAAAATCATGTCTGTACTATAAAAAAGTTTATATTACCAGAATGTGGCAGTGATTTACATCTAATGCGACCTGATTTTGTATTTGCTTTGTAGAGATGTCAAAACAAAACAATTAGCGACGTGAAGTCAGACAGTGTTTAAACTCAAAGGAAAACTGAAGCCTCATCAAAACAAACCGTTGCATGAGTAATATTTTAAGTTACTTTAGCCATAATAAATAAACATGCTTAAACGTCAGTGGTCTTGAGAGCTTTTAGAGGTATGAGGGCGGTTCTTTTCGAGGCATCTGAAGGGAAATCAGGTTAGAGTTGGTCTTGGTATCCTGAGAGCGTAACCGCAGTGCCCAAGGAACAATTGCTTGAGGCCGGTCACACACGATCTTTTTGTGAGTAGTTTTTTTGTTAGCTCCGTAATTGTTTGGACCTTACTGACGGAGTCGGAAATCTGTGGGATAAGGCGAGGTGTGCATTTTTATGGTTGGCCTTTTCTAACCTCACCCCACCTTGTGGGAAGGCAGCATCGCTGTTATGCTGGCCGTCTGAAGGAAACACCTTACTAACGTCACACCGGACAGTCAGCAGTACAACTTCGCTTTTAATCTAACCGCTCTTTAACCAACCTGCCTGGCCAGGTAGAACCTTGAGGAGCGATTGTTCCAGCCAGTATAACCCGATTGGCTCGTCACGATAGGCAAGCCCGACCACTACGTCAAGGTAGCAGTAACAATCGGGCGGACGGATAAACAGCTTTCAAAATAGTCCCCCGGTAAATATGATTAGCAGGAGGAAAAACGACGGAAAATTCATAAAAACGGGGCGATGGTTAGCAGTTACATAAGCTCATTAAAAAGGGCTATTTCAAAAAAAATCGTGGTTAGCGAAAACATACGAAAACCAGGAATCAAGAGGGTGGGGCAATTGTATGTTTATTGCGTTTTCACCATAGCACTTCTAATATAAACTATGATTATTTGGCAGAATTACGGCTACTTAAGGTATGACAAAAACTACACGCACGAGCGCACCCGATTAGGGTTCGTCGTGAGTTTCAACCCACCGAGGTGCAATGGTGAGCCTCCACCCGGGGTCAGAGCATTCCTGATCACCCTGAACCCGGCACCCCCAAATGCCCTGGTACGGCCGAGAGTAGGGAGAGTCCGCTCTCCCTCTCGAAATGCTCTCAAATGGCCATGCGTATACAGCATCTGCCAGGGAAGTCCTACTCACTGCCTTCACGTGGCGGGGGTGTTGTTTCCGAAAATGAGAGGACGAAAAGCGAATGTCCGGCGCTTTAACCGGATTCCAAACCAATGGTGCACATGGGCTCCAGTATCCTGAAGGAACAAATGGCGTATGAACCAATCGTTGGTCACCGGCTACCATGGGATTGCATCTCCTTACGATGCTCCACTGCCTTGTGGATCAGATCTTCAGGTCGAAGGCTCGGGGTGTGGCCCCCTAAGAAAACCACCTGCTTCGGTCTGGGCACGCGGAGAGTATCACAGCCCTCACACATATCAAATGAGATCTGTGTGGCGCATATGTATTTGGTGCCTCCTTGTACCAATACCTATGTGTTAAAATAAATAAATACTTAAGGTATTCCCAAGAATTTCCGTTTATTTCTAACTAAGAATAGTTTAACAAGGTCAGCAATTTCGCACCACTACATAGTAAAAATGATTAAAAGAAACCGAACTATACTGCTTACGGGGAAAGTTACAAGATTTAGGCCTGGTAAGTATTCTTCCTCTGGATCTTCCATTCCATCAGTGCTTTGTGTTTTCGAAGAATCCAAAGCAATATTTCCATCATTTATCCTAAGTTTTTGTGTAAGTAATCGTTTGGCCTCAGCATAACGCGACAAACTCATATTCAAACACTGTACTGTTTGGTTTAATCCTGAAGGAGCCTGAAGAGCTTTGACAACAGGTAGAGAACAGGTGAGAAGGTCACGTCGATGACTGAAAGTAGATTTTAAAACATCGGACGGATCTTCAGCTGGTGAGGCGGCACGGCCTTCTGTAAAATCATCCTGATTCACAGCAGGACTGTCAAAAAGAGGAGCCCCAGGATATAACACTTGTCGCATTGCACAAAATAAAAATGCATTTGCAGCACATAGTTTCCGAAAAACGTAATAAACATCTAAGTGCCCTTCGTCACGAGCCTCCGTAGCAACTTGTAAGATCCAAGACCAACTTTTAGGACAAACACGTATATGAACCTATCAGTCGATTGAATAAGAATACATAAAACATGGGAATATTAGTTTTACAAGCACATAGGATTGAGTTAGGCATGAAATTTTAGGAGTGTTTTAACATCGAAAATTATAGCTAAGCAACAAAAGCTTCATGTTAAACTTAATTTCCACTATCATCAGGAACACATCTAAAACTTACCAAGAAAGTACAATACCTTCATGGTACAATTTAGACGAGCAATAATGCCGTAAATTTTCAATGTTGAATCCACACTCAATAAACAAAGCGAGATGAAAGTTTCAGAGCAAATTCCAGAGTAGTGGAGATAATAACAGTATTAGTTGTAACAGCTAAGATTAGGCATCGAAGATACAGTTCGGGAAGAAAATGTGGACTATTGGAGTAAATAAAAAAATTATAAGGTGATTTAGAAACTTGGGATCTAAAAGAAGACTAAGAGCGAACGTACGTGCACCATTGCGAACTATTCTGAGCCGTCACCCATAGCTTCCGACCATTGGTTACGACAACTATACAGACCCCAACCAGGTATTTTGCACCTAGCCACATGGCTTAGTCCGATAATCACTGTTTTTATGGACTGATGCTACGTTTTCGTTGGACCACTCTAAGCGGTCAGCATCTGGCGGGACAATCCATGTAGCAGGCAAGCATTCTACCAGTGAACTACTGTATTTATTTATTTATTTGAACACATAAATATTGGTACAAGGCGGCACCAAATATATATATATATATATATACGCTACACAAATATAATGATAAGGTGATTAAACAAAAGCTTTACGGCAAAACGTTTTCATTTGAGGTGGAAATGTGCAATAAATTGATTAGGTGGACATCCAACTACCTCGTTAAAAAACGAAATGAGATTTAACATCACTTTGAAAAATTAGAGCAGACAGCTACACACAACGTAATACCTGACACTGCGCATCACTCTAAATCTCTATATCTCATATTAGCGCAGTAAAAAAAAATTAGCAAGCCAAGATGTGAAGAAATAACAGTAAAATCAACAACAAGCCAAAAATAAGGGGAAACGTCTGAGGAGAAGAATGAGAAAAATGTAATAATATTATTTCTAAGATTGACAGGTAGATGAATAATGAGTGCACGTGCGCTACTGCGTCATTCAAAGTTGCTGATCATAAGTTACGGTAGTGTTAAAAAACCCAGTTAAGAAAAAAAACTGAGTACAAAGAAATTATCTCCAAATACAATGGTTTCAGTGCTGCATACTAATTTGTTACCTAATGGATCAAAGTAGGGAATATTTTAGGCAAAATAATTCCCAATTACCACATATTCTAAGTTAGTAAAAAAGTCTAACATAAAACTGAAATTTGATTGAAATCAATCGATTTAAGCTAGATTACTACTGAAAACCTTGAAGGCCTTTTCGTTTATTTATTATTTATTTATTTGAACACATAAATATTTGTACAAAAGGGCACCAAATATATATGCGCCACACAAAATGATGAAAATTTGAAGAAAAATAGGAAGGTAAGGAGCGTAAAAAAAGAACAATAGCGAACAGATTAGTGTAAGGTAGTGTAATAATAATAATTATTATTATTATTTATTTTATTTATCTATTTTAACACATAGGTATTGGTACAAGGAGGCACCAAATACATATGCGCCACACGAATCTCGATTGATTTGTGTGAGGGCTGTGATACTGCTCGGGTGCCCAAACCGAAGCAAGTGGTTTTCTTAGGGGGCCACACCCCGAGCCTTCGACCTGAAGATCTGATCCACAAGGCAGTGGAGCATCGTGAGGAGATGCAGTCCCATGGTAGCCGGTGACCAACGATTGGTTCATACGCCATTTGTTCCTTCAGGATACTGGAGCCCATGTGCACCATTGGTTTGGAATCCGGTTAAAGCGCCGGACATTCGCTTTTCGTCCTCTCATTTTCGGAAACAACACCCCCGCCACGTGAAGGCAGTGAGTAGGACTTCCCTGGCAGGGGCTATGTACGCGTGGTCATGTGAGTGCATTTCGAGAGGGAGAGCGGACTCTCCCTACTCTCGGCCGTACCAGGGCATTTGGGGGCAATAATAATAATAATAATAATAATAATAATAATAATAATAATAATAATAACGAGGGAGACGGAAAGGTACAATCAGAAGAAATTTTTCAGTTAAGGAAGGAGCAACCGCTTTTTACGAAGTAAGTAAAAGAAGGTTACAGCAGGATCACCACTGGCTTCTATGATCAAATCGTTAAGCCTTTATCTTTGTAGTCACCAGCAGCATAGCAAACTTCTAATGAAAGCTCGTAAATTTTTTAGTGATGTTGCTTAGAAATACTATTTGACCTATACGATTAGACAACCCATTAATAACATCAAGAGCTAGAAAAGGTAGAAAAGATATAATTAAAACCAGAATAACGGAGTCCTAAATCTCTTAAACACAACAACCTACCTTTACTCACTATTCAAAGCCTAAAGGTATGTTAATAACCAGTGGCCGAGGTAAAGAGTCTATACTTAATAGACCTATACCTTATCTAATCAAAATGAGCAATTCTAGATTGTAGTTCAGCCCAACAAAATATTACGCACATACAGGTGTTACCAAAGCACGTGCAACGCTTATCTGCATTAACTCCGCCGACACACTTCGTAAGATGATTTACCTTTGGTACCTAAAACTACTTTAAAAGTAGTCAACAAGAAAAACAAACAACCTGACTCGGTGAGCTCATGTTTCGTAAATATCAACTAGAACTACTTCTATGGTTATACAATGCATTGAAAAGCCTACTTTTAGTAACATTCTTATAAAACAATAAGTCTAAGTAACTCCTATAATATTAATAAGGACTGTAAAGTGAAGAGGATAAATAATTTCTAACCACGTAAGAATCAGCAAAGAACACTTGTTCGTTCGTTAAATATTTGGTTGCAGGTGTACAAAAGCTCCGTAAGAATTAGTGAATATGTTTTATCTTTTGTTTAGTATTTAGTGAATTAGAGTGGAATCTGGATTGTACAAAATATCGTGTCCTACAATCGGGATGTGGAGATCCATCATACCCAATACGTAAAACACTAGTTTATGAAAATGACTTTCAACTATTAATGATCTATGAATAGCAATAACCCTGCCGTATATCAATTAAAACCTTCAAACTCCTCACCAAGTAGGTCGACACTGGCGTCGTGGAGAACGCGCCAACGTTGTTGTTACAATCATTTTTGTAAGAAACTATTAGTAGTGCAATTGATCATCAAAAGCTTACTTAAACTTTTAAAGACAAATTAAGATGAAGGCAAAATAAAATTCACGTCTACTAATTAATGTTAAGCAACAAGTAATCTTACTCCAAAGTAAGATAGTTGAACACTGGCTGGGGACATAAGCAGCTATGTAAACACGCTGGTTGGAAATACTTTTTTTACCGAACAACGGACTAGATGAAAGATATCCATCAATTAATCAAGCCCAGGTAACTAAGGCGATCAAAAAGTTAAATGCTTTCTAATGCGTATAATATAAATTTATGAAAGCACTCAGTCAGTCAGCTGCAACGTAGGACCAGGCACGTATATGCATCGGTCCAAGTTGCCATACCGCATGAGCACAACAAGATGAATACCGGATTCATAGAAGTAGTTACTTCAGTGGTGGTAATATATAGAAGAAAGATTGTGTATAAGGATATAGTACAGGGAGAAAGAATTAGTTTCTAGAAAGAAAGATTTGAAGTGATTTTAATCTCTTAGTTTAAAGGAAGACAGAGAGTGTATACACCGACGCCATTGTGATCGATTCTGAGCCATGTCACCAAGAGTCTCCAACCATTGGTTACGATAGTCACGCGGACCCCAACCAGGCAGTCTGAATCTTCCAACATGACTCAGCCCAGAAGTTAGTGACTTCAAGCACTGATGCCACGTTTTGGTTTGGCCGCACTACCACTCATTTACAACTTGTTTTTGATGGAATAAGCAATACGTTATGTGGATAACGTGCCGATATGGTACTCCCACGGATATAAACCATAGTTTGTACTGGGCTTATCACGTTTCTGAAGTTCTAATGGTACGATAACAAAAGAAAATACTTACTATTGAGTAAGGTTACAGTCTTGTATAATTATTTCGAAAATCTGTACGAGACAGTAAGTTGATACACAAGGTAGCACAGGTGGGAAAAATATCTAATTTATGACATGTCAATAATCGTTACCAAAGCTATTATTATGCATTCAACTTATTTAAGCAGATGTCAAAATGCACTAAAACTCACATGATTGCGAATAGGCTGCTTCCCGTGGAAAGCATAAAGAAGGTAGAGTGCGCATATACGAACTAACTTGTTTTTAGATAAGGTTGGCTGAAACAGACTAACCAACCGGTGAAAAATACAGCCAACTATGTCATATAAACCGTGTTGGCACTGCCTTCCCTGAATTAAATGGATCAGTTTGTACTTCTTCCAGAGAACCACAAAATCCACGAAACGAGGACTGCCTAGATCGGCGAATTCTTCAGTAAATGCTTCAATATCCTCATCCAAGCCCATGATAGGATTAAAAGCAATTTGCAAATAGTATGAACCGTATGTGACACTGTCCTTCTAAACAAAAGTTAAATGTAGAATTCCAATTTTTAATTACTGTCTCTTGCTGTTCCCCCATCGTGATATTATGATTACAAGCTATAGCACACGGTAGCCGATTGCACCCCCAAATTGTAAACAATTGTTAACAATCGCGGATGCGTCTGTCCTCAAGGTCGATCTTTCAAACCACAAACATTATTAAGTAAGAATAACCTTGTCTCTTTGCCTTTTCTAATATTATGAATAATATGCTTGCTGGGTTGTTTTATTCCATGAACGATTATCTTCTGTGAGGACCCACATTCATCTGTAGGAGCTGATTCACCTGTTTAGGTTGTTGATCAAGATCCAATATCTTTGTGGCCAGCTCGTATAAACCGAGGAGTTTTTCTATGTCCTTTTGTCGAAGTTACTGTACAGTTGCAAACGTTTGATGCCGTACAGCCTAACTGAACTGACCTTTCGGCTGAACTAATACTAGGGGACTTGACAATTAACTTTTTCTTGAGCATAACTGTGTTTGTTCTGGAACAGTGATATTACTAAGACCAGTAGCTCTCATATTACGTGGCAAGGGATTTAGTTTTTACAATGCGAAAAACTAATCTCAAAATTCAGGCGGGCAAAGATGACGGTCACAATGGATTGATCAAGAGTTTAGACATGCCACAAGTGTTCGGAGTTTGGCAACTTCTTTACACGTAACACCTTTGTAGTCAAATTATGCCAACCCAGTCAAGTCAAATGTCAGGAATCAAGAGGTTTGAAGGCATATTTGATAGACTACCGTTATGTTGAGAAGCATTTGGTCTAAGCTGGCTAGTAGTTGCAAGCGATGAGTAACGTGTTGTACCCACTCGTGATCTGGTGCGGTTACGTGGTCAAGCGCACTCAGCTACGGTGTTTGCACTGGAACTAAAAAAGTTGGTATCAATCTTGGGAACTTACAGAACTATTTGTTATACGGATTTATTTGCCACTCATGGTATATTCGAATGTACCGTATTTTATGTTTGATCATAACATATCCTTGTAAATTGACTTTATATGTCTGTCCGTCCATCTATCTCTTGGTGATATTTCATTGTTATAATAATCTGTGAAAACTTGAGACACATTGACAAGGTAACACTCGACACAACAAGGATCAGATCTGTCTGACGCATCTCTGTATTTATTTATTATGATGCAACAGTCGGTTATCTTTGTGCAAGTTTCAATATAAATTCAATATAATTCCTAAGAGTTATAACTCTGGTGTCAAGCCAATTTATTATTACTTCATTCCAGTTACATTCATTTGATCAGATTTTATTTTGATTCGATCTATCAACATCGTACACATCAGTTAATTTAACTGCTTGGATGTTTACAAAGTAACAGCATCATTCAAGTTCTTGTTTAATTCACTGATCATCAGCCATTAAAATAAAGACAAGGAACATAACAGTCTACCCAAACGTCTAGGGTTATCAAGTGTTGATATTAGATAAACATTGACAGTTCATATGAATTTGAATGTCTCTGCATCCAGCATTAATGGGATTCTTAACAAAAGCACATGCAAATCAATTGACCTGCAGTTTAACTTCACCCTCTCTGTATAAACTTAAAAACAAGAGTCTGTGGTATCGTTAGTATTTGTGGGCACGTAAAAACTATATATGAACGATGAAACGATCTCCGAACAGCGACCAAAACAACTTTAGTCACACTCTGACTCTGTATGACTGAATTATATTGATGTCAATAAAATACATGACGAACAGGCCTCCAGGCCCATCTCCCCAACTTGCGAATTTTGCCAGATGTAGCTCACTTTGAGCTGTCCTCGACCACGAACTTTTAATGATTATTTCTTTATACACTATTAGAATTCCGAATACGAAGCATTTGGTTGGTCCATTTGTGATAACCGAATTACAAATTGGATAGTTCTCAGTATTACTGGTTAACGTACTGAATCCTTGAGGGTGACGACGCCACAGGTATTTGGAGTTTGACAACGCTTTAACCAGTAACACCTTCTATTATGTTTCGTACCCACCAAGTGAAATCAAAAGACAGAAATGAGGGGTTCGAAGATATACTTGATAGGCTATCAATATATCATGAATCGACTGATTTAATGTGGCTAACGATTGCAGGGGATGTTGAGCACGGCGTTCCCACTCATCATCTGGTGCGGATGCAAGACCAAGCGCCTTCAGTTAGGTATTTCCATCAACACTAATGTGGTAAACATCCAATGTCGAAGACTTACAGAGCCATTTATTTTGGGGATTTATTTACCGCTACAGACCACACACCCCTAGTGGGGCAGCGATGACCCTAAGACGCTGCCAGCAAGAAGTTTAAACCCGAAGAGTTTGTCGTTGGTAAACACACCTCTGATAGCTCACTAGATTTAGCGGCATCTGGTTGTCTTTCCTTACTATAAGGGACCATGTAGTACAATATAGAAATGAAAAAGATACAATGAAATTTTCGGTTCATCGTAAACTTCGTCGTTCTTTTTCGTCTTTTCCAGCCATCTTGGAAAGGAAAAAATATGCAAGTGCATGTCGAAATACACTCGTACGCCCGTAAAAACACAAAGCGATCGAGGAAGAGGAATATAAACTCATACACAGGTGATAGCGAGAAAAAGGATTTTTATAAAATGGTCTTTTTTCGTTTTGATTTTTTGAAGTAAAATTATATAAGCATAATAAAATTGGCTTTTTTTAATTGTATATAGTACAAAGAAACATCGAAATGATTTAAAATGTCAACTAACATCTTACGGGTAATAATCGTTAAGATGTTCTGGAAATCCTAGCCTTCTTCCAGAATGCGTTGTCTTAAGTTTATTTTCTGATACTGCCGAAGTATCGTCGTGCGTGTTGGCCGTCGAATAATGTATTATAAATGTAGGAGCCCTGTCGTTCGATTGTATGGGAGGAAAATCGACGTGAATAGGATTTCCTCTTAAATAGGCAGCTTTGAGGCGATCGATGCTGATGCTATCGTTGGTTCCGTTCTTATTGACTATGTAGTACTTGGGTTCTCGTTGAAGAACTTTGAAGGTTCCTTCGTATGCTGATTCAAGAGGTCGCCTACGTGAGTCTGCTAAATGTTTGCAGCTAATAGTGAAGCTTTTAGTCGTCGGTGAAACCGTTCTACCAATCCGTTTTTTGCTTGTGGGTGGTAGGCGGTCGTTCGGAAAAGTCCAGATTCGAACTGGCGTCCGCGATCTGTAGTGATGGTTGAAGGGCAACCGAAATTCGCTAGAACGCTGACTTTTGTGCTAACATCCACGAGGTAACGAACTTTCGTTATCACTCTGTGACGTATAACAGACGGCTATGTTTGCTGGCTACGGTTGGTCAAACCTTTGTCGATAGGTTAGGTCTCCGCGTTTAAGAATAGTTCGTTTAGGCGTTTCGTATGGTTCAGAAACATTGTAGTGGCATTGGGTCCTAACACGAGACAATATAGGGAATATACATTCAACATTTAGCGCGGAGAAATACTTAACAATGGAGAAGGCGGGAACACTGGATTGAATTATTTGTAGTTGACTTGACATTTCGTTGAGTTTTACAGACCGAATTACTAAGCGACAACAGAGCCAACGTGTACACTACAAAACAAAGAACGCTAAATTAATGCTTTTGGTAGTTATTTTGTGCTTTTTAATACAGCAAAAGATGACCCAAATATGAAAAAACGTGATACTCATGCAATCCGACAATCCACGGCAATTGAGATACGGAATCACCGCCTCTTGTCAGGCCGTTCAAGGTCGTTGAAACGAAAGCGCGGGCAGCTTCGAACGGCTCTAACGTTTTTCCCGTGCCGTAGTTGACCGGATGGCATGGCTCGGCCTTGCAGACGTGGTCTCATGTAACATTATTTTTATCCATATTAAATACACTGTTCTATCCCTAATCTAAGTGTGTCCCTCATATATTGATGATTGTTTCAACGCAATGAATCAGGGTAGACAACGATGTGACTTCTACGTATGATCTAATAGATTAGGCAGTTACATCATAACAAATCTACAAATTTAGAATTCGGTCTATTATTCGAGCAGTACTAATATCAAAGTAGACTATAATTCTACAGCATCACTTGTGAACATATAAGTGTTACGTGTCTGTTGAATTCGCGCTGTACTGCCTTGACTACTGGAGGTCTTGTGCACCTGTATTCTTCACGCCCTGTTAGTAGAAGTCGGCTTCTTCGTAGCAGAACCAGGCTTCGATGTTGTCTGGTCAGAATGGCATCAGCTGAAACAAAGGTGGGAACATTGTCCTTAACTTAAGCACTTTTGGTGTCTGTTCAGTCATGGTGAAATATCAAGTACGAGAATGAACGAGTGGAATATATATATATATATATATATATATATATATATACATCCAGAAACACGGAAAAAATATCACAGCATATAAAATTCAAAATAAAGCAATGATATACAGAACCCAAAGAAGGAACAGACCCACAGTTTGCAATTTGGTGTACCGAATCACATCGGGCTCACCAATGAAGATGTCACAGGTATTTGAAGTTTGACAGCGCTTTAACCAGTAACACCTAATATGAATCGTACCCCCCAAGTGAAATCAAAAGACAGAAGCTAGGAGGTTCAAAGAAATATTTGATAGGTGAGTCCATTAAAACCAATATGGTTAACATCCAATGTCGAAGACTTACAGAGCTATTTATTTTGGGTATTTATTTACCGCTACAAGGGAAATATGACCAAAAGGAAACCAAAATGGTCGAAAAATCACTTTAAGACTCTCACGTATGTGAGTTTACATAACGCCCTTGAGACTACGATAGGATTACTTACTTACTTACTTACTTACTTACGCCTGTTACTCCCAATGGAGCATAGACCGCCGACCAGCATTCTCCAACCCACTCTGTCCTGGGCCTTCTTTTCTAGTTCCATCCAATTCTTGTTCATTTTTCTCATGTCTATCTCCATTTCTCGTCGTAATGTGTTATTCTGTCTTCCTCTCCTCCTTCGGCATTCAGGATTCCATGTGAGGGCTTGTCTTGTGACACAGTTCGGTGCTT